TGGATGGTTGTTATATTGTTTCTAAGATGTTATGTTCCTAGTTGTTGTTGCTAGGGTGTTTTGGATAGTTGCTTTGTGGTTTCTAAGATATTATCTTCCAGGTTGTTGCTAGGGTGTTTTGGATGGTTGTTATATGGCTTCTAAGATGTTGTTCCAAGTTGTTGCTAGGGTGTTTTGGATGGTTGTTATGTGGTTTCTAAGATGTTGTTTCAAGTTGTTGCTAGGGTGTTTTGGATGGTTGTTGTGTGGTTTCTAAGATGGTATCTTCCAGGTTGTTGTTGCTAGGGTGTTTTGGATGGTTGTTGTGTGGTTTCTAAGATGTTATGTTCCAGGCTGTTGTTGCTGGGGTGTTTTGGATGGTTGTTACAGTATATGGTTTCTAAGATGGTATCTTCCAGGTTGTTGTTGCTAGGGTGTTTTGGATGGTTGTTGGGTTTCTATGTTGTTTCAAGTTGTTGCTAGGGAGTTTTGAATGGTTGATGTGTGGTTGTTGTGTTGGTAGAGTGTTTTGGTTTGTGCCTTTGGTGTTATGGGAGGTGGCTATGCAGCTGAAGTGTTTTATTGGGTTGCTATAGGATTTCTAAGGTGTTCCTATTGGTTGCTCAGGTGTCCTGGGTGATTCCTATTCAGTTATTGTTGTGTTCTGAGAGGTTGCTAATGTGTTCTTACTGGTTGCTAAGGTTTTCTTATTGGTTCTCTGTTGAAAAAAAACAGCTTAAACCAGCCTAAGCTGGATGGCTGGTTTGAGACAGTTTTTGGTAATTTCTAGGCTGATTTCCAGCCATTTCCAGCCTGGTCTTAGCTGGTCAGGATAAAAAATGACATAGATGGTTTTGGTTGGGCTCCCAGTCTGGCTAGGTTGGTTTTAGCTGGTCATCTCCCAGCCTGGAAGTGGCTGGAAACCAGCCTAGAAATGGCCAAAACCTGTCTAAAACCAGGCTGGTTGACCAGCTAACTAGCTTAGGCTGATTTAAGCAGTTTTTTTTCAGTTGAGTAATGGTTTCTGGAGGGTGCAGAGGTTGCAGTTGGTATGATGTTTTGTTTGGTTGAGGTTTTGGATCGTTCCTGCATGATTGCTGTGCTGAGATGATTTTTGGTAGCCTATCATTCAAGCTCATAGCACAGTGTTGAGTTGTGTGCATAAGTTCAATATGTAGGTTTAGGGGTTTTCAATAAATCATTAGTAATAGTAATTGCTCTAACATTGCAAGGACAACTAAAGCAACATGCCTTTCCATGCATAATTTGACAAATTCCCCTTAACTTGTTTATTTTGGCCCCGAGGCTGAAATTACACTAACTGTGCTATTAAGCAGCATTATACACGTCTCTTTCTGCACAGGCCATTTGTAACTGCTGTTGTTGTTGTTGCATTGACCCGGGTCTCACTCTTTGCTCCAATACAGACTTTCTCATTTTTCCCACAGGAACCCAGATTCTGCTGGGATGGGTCTGCGTGGGACTCTTCTCTGGGAAACTGGGAAAGATCCAGCTAGTGTCACTTTCTCCAAGCAGGAAAAGGGGAGGGGGGAATTTAAAGCTGAACATCTGGATTTCCCAAGCCGGAGCCACACGAGTCCTGGATGTGTGCAAGAGTCTCCTCCGGCCAAGAGGAAACCGTAAAACGCATCAGACTGTAAATGCGGTGACGACGCACCATAAAGCCTGCAGTGGCCGAGGCCGTGCTGAGATCACGGAAGAGGTGCCATGTTGTTGTCTTCCTGTTTGTTTCCTCTCGGGGCCTGTAATTACGGCAAACTTTAATCTACGCCATCGAGAGCCAGAGTCTCAGCCGCCCTGATCACTATCTGCACACACTTGGCAGAACAAGGGCACACGATTAAGTGCACTACTGTGAAGCATGGTATGTCAACTGTGACTTGTTTATTCTTTTGTGGCTTTTTTTTATTAGTTAAAATGCTCAGCTATGTCGGCGCCAATGGCCCTATGATTAAGTGTGCTGAAATACTGTATAACACAGAATTATTAGCCCCCCTTTGAATTTTTTTCTTTTTTAAACATTTCCCAAATTATGTTAAACAGGGCAAGGGAATTTTCACAGTATGTCTGATAATATTTTTTCTTCTGGAGAAAGTCTTATTTGTTTTATTTCAGCTAGAATAAAAGCAGGTTTTACTGCCTAATTACCCTAACCTGCCTAATTAACCTAGTTCAGCCTTTAACTGTCACTTTAAGCTGTATAGAAGTGTCTTGAAAGATATCTAGTAAAACATTATTTACTGTCATCATGGCAAAGATAAAATAAATCAGTTATTGGAAATGAGTTATTAAAACTATTATGATTAGAAATGTGCAGAAAAAAACTCTCCGTTAAACAGAAATTAGGGAAAAAAATAAACAGGTGGGCTAATAATTCAGATTTTAACTATATATATATATATATATATATATATATATATATCAAAACATGATCACAATTTATTATTATTATTTTTTTTATTATTAAAGCAATATTATTATTAGTAGCAGCTGTGGTATGTTAAATATTGCATAATTATATAAAATACCTGACAAAGGTGATAATTATAGAATTAATTGTATTTATTATTTAATTTTCTGCTTGTATAACTACTAAAACAATATTTATGTAATATAATTTTGGGGGAAAAAATTAAATCATCATTAATACAGTATTAGTATAAATAGTACATTAAATACATTGAATGGTGTCGATATAACTAATTATATATCTAGTAATAGTAATGATGATGATGATGAGGCTAATAATGTTGTAATTATTATGATTTTTAACAATAATGAATATTATTATTATGATCATTATTATTAGCATCATTATTAGTAGTATTATCATTATTATGATCATTATCATTATTATTATTATTAAGGAAATAATGTTAGGAGTACATGTGGCATGGTTAAATATTGCATAATTATAGAAAAAAATAACAATTATAAAATTAATTGTATTTATTTATTATTCTGGTTGTCTACTATAGAAATATTTATGTAATTAAAAATTTGTAATTTTAAAATGATCATTAATAAAGTATAAGAAGTAGTACATAAAATAGTTGTAATGGTGATGATAAAACTAATTATACACCCAAATAGACGATAAAACTATTATATAAGTAATAGTAATGATGATGATTTTAATAAAGTTTTTGTTGTTGATTATTAACAATAACAATGGTTGTTATTGTAATTACTATTATTATGATTATGATGATTATTATTGAACGCATGATGTTAGTAGTACCTTTGGTATATTAAATGATGCATAAATAGAAAAAAATATTGACAAAGATAATAATTAAAGAATTATTTGTATTTATTATTTATTATTATGCTTATAAAATACTACAGAGATATTTATAAAATGTAGCTTTAAAAACAACTTTAGTTGTTTAATAGTAGCATTAGTACTAAATTAAATAATACATAATCAGTTACGTAATGACTAAACCATAATAATAATAATATTTATTCATTTATTAATTTTCCTTTGGCTTAGTTCCTTATTTATCAGGGGGTTGCAACAGTGAAATGAACCGCCAACATATCCAGCATATGTTTTACACAGCGGATGCCCTTCCAACTGCAACCCAGTACTGGGAAACACTCATACACTCTCACATTCAAAAACACACACTCATACACTGTGACCAATTTAGTTTATCCAATTCAGTGCATGTCTTTGGTCTATGGAGGAAACCCATGCTAAAACTTGGAGAACATACAAACTCCACACAGAAATGTCAACTGGCCCAGCCGGGACTCGAACCAGTGGCCTTCTTGGGTGAGGTGACAAGTACTATCAACTGAGCCACCCTGCTGCTATAATAATAACAATACTCATAAAATATTTACCATTACGTCCAGTAGGTAAATATTTAAATCCATTTAGTCGTCTTTGTCTCACGACATCTCCACTTTTAAAGCCTCTCCAGTGTGGTTTAGCAAACAAAAACTCCATTCCCTCACACACAAACACATGACACACAGGAACTAGGACACCAGGGATATACGATTACACTAAAAGCTTGTAAACACTGTCAAGTCCTGCTTCAAGTACCAATTAGCGTGGGCCGTACGATGCCACAAGTGCCAGAAATATTCCAGTGAGGCTGACCGGCGGAGCTCTGCCCCGCCACAGCTGTGAATCAGCGACAGGACAAAACATCTCCGGCATACCATCAACCACCTGTCAGAGCTTCCCGGAACAGCAGACCTGCAGACGGGCATGTAGGGGCACATGTCTGAAGAAGCTGCTGAGCTCATGCTGTACTCTGGGATCATTTGAGCCAATACCGTGCAGATTTTTGGCCATTGTAGGTGGTGCTTTGCTGTTGCTAGGGCGTAATGATTTTTAGATCATTGTCATAATGTTGAAAGAACATTATAGTATGTTACAGCAATACTACACAGTTGTTAGGTAGTTCAATGCAGTTGCTAGGGTGTTTTTGGTGGTTGTTGCTATGCTAGTACTGTACATCTTTATATAGTTGCTAGGGTGTTGTGGTTGTTTATCATTGCTATGCAGTTGCTATGGTGTTGCTGTTAGGATGTTATAAGTTGGCTACAGCATTACTAAACAATTGTTAGGTGTTCTATGCAGTTGCTAGGGTGTTTTTGGTGGTTGTTGCTATGCTAGTACTGTGCATCTTTATGTAGTTGCTAGGGTGTTGTGGTTGTTTATCATTGCTATGCAGTTGCTACCGTGTTGCTGTTAGGATGTTATAAGGTTTCTACAGCATTACTACACCGATGTTAGGTTGTTCTATGCAGTTGCTAGGGTGTTTTAGATGGTTGTTAGTGTTGCTATGCTAATACTGCACATCTTTATGTAGTTGCTAGGGTGTTGTGGTTGTTTATCATTGCTATGCAGTTGCTATGGTGTTGCTGCTAGGATGTTATAAGGTTGCTACAGCATTTCTACACAATTGTTAGGTGTTCTATGCAGTTGCTAGGGTGTTTTAGGTGGTTGATAGAGTGTTACTATGCTAGTACTGTACATTTTTATGTAGTTGCTAGGGTGTTGTGGTTGTTTATCATTGCTATGCAGTTGCTACTGTTTTGCTGTTAGGATGTTATAAGGTTTCTACAGCATTACTACACAGATGTTAGGTTGTTCTATGCAGTTGCTAGGGTGTTTTAGACGGTTGTTAGTGTTGCTATGCTAATACTGCACATCTTTATGTAGTTGCTAGGGTGTTGTGGTTGTTTATCATTGCTATGCAGTTGCTATGGTGTTGCTGTTAGGATGTTATAAGGTTGCTACAGCATTACTACACAGATGTTCGGTTGTGCTATGCAGTTGCTAGGGTGTTTTAGACGGTTGTTAGAGTGTTGATATGCTAATACTGCACATCTTTGTAGTTGCTAGGGTGTTGTGGTTGTTTATCATTGCTATGCAGTTGCTAGGGTGATGCTGTGAAGTTGGTAGTTTGTTATAGGGTTGCTACAGCATTACAACACTGTTGTTAGGATGTTTCATGCTGTTGCTAGGGTGTTTTGGGTGGTAGTTTGAGTGTTGTTATGCTAATACTGTACATCTTTATGTAGTTGCTAGGGTGTTGTGGTTGTTTATCATTGCTGTGCAGTTGCTAGGGTGTTGCTGTGAAGATAATAGGATGTTATAGGGTTGCTACAGCATTACAACACAGTTGTTTGGATGTTTCATGCAGTTGCTAGGGTGTTTTGGGTGGTAGTTAGAGTGTTGCTATGCCAGTAGCGTACATCTCTATTTAGTTGCTACGGTGTTGTGATTGTTTATCATAGCTGTGCAGTTGCTAGGGTGTTGCTGTTAGGTTGGTAGGATGTTATAGCGTTGCTACAGCATTACAACACAGTTGTTAGGTTGTTCTATGCAGTTGCTAGGGTGTTTTGGGTGGTTGTTAGATTGTTGCTATGCAATTGCATTTAGCATTTGCTATTGTGTTTAGTTGCTAGGGTGTTGTTTGTAAATTTTTAACTATCTCTTTAATGTGTTAAGACCAGTTTGTGTGTTGTTTACTATGCAGTTACCATGGAGTGTAAGTTGCTAGGTTGTTTATATTCAGGTGTACGGTGGTTGCCAGAATATTGTTATCTGCTAGAATATTACTATGCAGTTAGGTTGCTAGAGTGTCGCTATGCAGTTGCTAGGGTGTTAGGGGTAGTTAGTGTTGCCATTCAGGTTTTAGGTTGCTTCTCTGTGTTGATCTAAATCTGAAGAATTTCAGGTATGTGATATTCTGCTTTATATATTTGTCAGTGTGATTTTTCTAACCCAGTTAATTTGTACATCAGTCTAAAATCTTAATTCTAAAAGCTTAAAAGTAACAGCAATTTCATTTGAAGTAAACCCGTTCCATTTTAATGATATCTGAACAGTTACATAGACATTTCTATACATGTTAAATTCAAAATGAAGTATTTCTTACCTTTCCTAACGAACCATCCTTTCCCTCCTGATTGTCCTGCTGTAAGAAAGCCCAGAAAGTCCTGTATCCAGAGGCGCTGTGACCTCACACTGAAAGATGAAGCAGGAGCACTAAACACTGAGGGGTGCTTGAGCTCCACACACTCTGTCTACTCACACACACGTCTGATTCTGACATGAGGAGAAGCAGCGAGAGCACAACAGCCTCTCTGGTCTCACACACACACACACACACACGCACACTGGGGCCAGACGATAGAAAAGCAGTTTGGCTAAAGGGAGGTGTTTCCTGTCAGAGGGGAAAATAGAGTCAGGGAGGGGCACACGACATGAGAATTTACACCCTCAGGATGGCAGAGCGATCCAGGCCACATTTCACGCCCGCTGGTCACCACCAGAGTAAACCTCTTCTTCAGGTCCGCACATGTATATTTGGATGTGTTTTGTGGGCGTGTAAACCACAGTAAAACATACACCTATACATGCGGTGCTAAATTTGGCAGGGTGTAATTGTTGTTTAAAAGCAATGCCACAATAATGAATAGTTTCTACACTATATGATGTCCTCAAAGAGTAACATGTTGAGGGAAAGACCCCTTTTCTATAAACAGGGTTTTTGCAGGTTTCTTCAAGTCAAATTTATGACTTTTTAAAACTCTGTAAAGACTATTATGAAGGAAATTTTAGACTTATTCAGGGATAAACACTAAGGATTTTTTCTAATTTTTAGGTTACGGTTACACCTGTTTTTGTGTTAATTGAGGATCATGGAAAGGAGTGTGTCGCTTTAGTTTTCTTTCTTTTAATTTTCTCATTCATTTGTTTTCTTGTTGGCTTAGTCCCTTTATTAATCTGGGGTCGCCACAGCGGAATGAACCGCCAACTATTCCAGCATATGTTTTACACAGCGGATGCATATTCAATTTGCCTACCGCATGTGTTTGGACTGTGGGGGAAACCGGAGCACCCGGAGGAAACCCACGCCAACTAGGGGAGAACATGCAAACTCCACACAGAAATGCCAACCGACCAAGCTGAGGCTCAAACCAGCGACCTTCTTACTGTGAGGCGATCGTGCTACCCACTGCGCCACATGACGCCCAATTAGGAAGTTTAATTTGCAGATTTTGCTGTAAAAATGTCTAACAGCTGTTGTAAATGGATCTCTTTGCAATATAATTAAAAAGAAGATGCTTTGAGATGGATTATAGGTGATTGAGTGTTGGCCGGATTGGGTAGCTTTACTTGGCTATAGGGAAAGTCCTGTTTAAAATTATTTAAGACCTACAGCCCAATATTTCAGTCAATTCAAGACTGTTTAAGGCCTAAAATTGAGAAAATTAAGACATTTTAAGACTTTTATAACCCCCGGGGACACCTGTATTTTGTCATTCCTCATTTATATCTGCTTTTGAATTGCATTATGGGATCTTGATATGTCTTCCAACAACTTTTAACCTCGAAAAGTTTGAAATAAGTGACATTCATTAACATATTTAATAGTTTATAGTGCTATATTGTCTGTGTTGGTGTTGTAGGCCTATATTACAGCTCAAACCTTGTAATAATCTGCCAGCACATTTTCTGTTATTGTACAGACTTATTCCTCTATGCATTGTTTATTATACATCATATTATTTCAAACTCCTAAATATCAATAAAAGTTACTTTGTTCAAAATCAAAGGTCAACATATCAGAGATCAACATCCCATAATGCAATTCACAACCATCAATAAAAAGGAAACAATTGAGAATCACAAAATACAGAAACTGTTCATAACAGATATTTTTACAGTAATAAAAGCTTTGAAATGATCAAATGCAGCATTTATTGAATGTATAAACATCATTTTAGTGTTTGTTGCAGCATTAATAGAAATTAACATACTATGTGCTATACTGAATTAATATTTTTCAACACATTTCTAATCATAATAGTTTTAATAACTCATCTCTAATAACTGATTTATTTGATCTTTGCCATGATGACAGTAAATAATATTTGACTAGATATTTTTCAAGACACTTCCATACAGCTTAAAGTGACATTTAAAGGTTTAACTAGATTAATTAGGTTAACTAGGCAGGTTAGGGTAATTAGGCAAGTTATTGTATAACGATGGTTTGTTCTGTAGACTATCGAAAAAATTTTTTAAGGGGGCTGATAATATTCACTTTAAAATGTTGTTTAAAAAATTAAAAACTCAAATAAATAAAACAAATAAGACTTTCTTCAGAAGAAAAAATATTATAGGAAATACTGTGAAACATTCCTGAATCTGTTCAACATCATTTGAGAAATATTGGGAAAAGAAAAAAAAAATTCCAATAATTCCGACTTTAACTGTATGTCTATTCATCTCTTATTAACACACTTATCTTGGGAGCGTGGCTCATTTTCCACTCTCTGACAGAAGGTTTTGGTTGGCTGTTTGCTGGACTAAACCTTCAGGTGGTCAGACAGGAGCACAAAGAGCTCTTTTAGTGGCCACTGCAGACATTTCCTGTCCCTCCCCACAGGGTTAACCCTTCAGGCATCCACAGACACACACATCTCTCTCACTGACACGAGACACGAACCGTCCCAGCCGTATTCAAGCCTGCACAGGGTGAAAGAGGCTTCATTTATGCGCATAAGTGTTTGAATGTTGAAAGGGAAAGCAAACAGAAATAGATAGAGCCTGGTTTGACATTTGCTACTTATAACTGTAAGACATTCATGTAGGCTCAGTGTGCGAACAATGTTGTCATTTATTCATTTTCCTTTGGCTTATTCTCTATTTCAGAGGTTGCTACAGCGGAATGAACTGCCAACTATTCCATCATATATTTTATGCATTGGATGCCCTTCCAGCTGCAACCCAGCACTGGAAAACATCCATACACACTCATTCACACACATACACTAGTCATTTTAGCGTATTCATTTCCTCTATAGCACACATGTTTGGACTGTGGGGTGAACCAGAGCACCCAGAGGAAACCCACATAAACAATGAGAGAACATGCAAACTCCACACAGAAATGCCAACTGACACAGCCGGAACTCAAACCAGCGACCTTCTTGCCGTGAGGCGACAGTGCTAACCACTGAGCCACCGTGTCACCCAGTTTTTTGTGACACTGTGGGGCAATGGATAGCACTGTCGCCTCACAGCAAGGATTCGAGCCTTGGCTGGGTCAGTTGGCATTTCTGTGTGAAGTTTGCATGTTCTCCCCATGTTCACGTGAGTTTCCTCTGGGTGCTCTGGTTTCCCCACAGTCCAAACACATGTGCTGTACAGGGTGTCTGTGGGGTTTTATAAAGTATTAAAAGTTGATAAATCAATTGACATGGTGATGAGGTCTTAAAATGTATGGAAAGAGTCTTAAAAAAGGTCTTAAAGGTATTGAATTTTACCCTCTGATTGCTGTGGGTATCCTGGCTAAAGGTGAATTGAATAAGCTAAATTGTCTGTAGTGTATGTGTGAATGCAAGAATGTATGGCTGTTTTCCAGTGTTGGGTTGCGGCTAGAAGGGCACCCACTGCATAAAACATATGCTGGATAAGTTGGCGGTTCATTCCACTGTGGCGACCCCAGATTAATAAAGGGACTAAGACGAAAATAATGAATGAGTGTGAATGCAAGAATGTATGGCTGTTTTCCAGTGTTGGGTTGCGGCTGGAAGGGCACATGCTGCATAAAACATATGCTGGATCAGTTGGCGGTTCATTGCACTGTGGCGAACCCAGATTAATAAAGGAACTAAGCCGAAAAGAAATTGAATGAATGAGTGTGAATGCAAGAATGTATGGGTGTTTCCCAGTGATGGGTTGCAGCTGGAAGGGCACACGCTGCATAAAACATATGCTGGATAAGTTGGCGGTTCACTCCACTGTGGCGACCCCAGATTAATAAAGGGACTAAGTCGAAAATAATGAGTGTGAATGCAAGAATGTATGGGTGTTTTCCAGTGATGGGTTGCAGCTGGAAGGGCATACGCTGCATAAAACATATGCTGGATAAGTTGGCGGTTCACTCCACTGTGGCAACCCCAGATTAATAAAGGCACTAAGCCGGAAAAAGAAAAGAATGAACTTTCACTTTTGTGAGAACTATTTAATTTAATAATAAATGAATCAAGCTTCATTTCACAAGCAATGCAGCACATTTCAGCTTGTTGTATTTGTGTAATTGGATTTCAATTTCATCAAGGGCTACACGTGTAATTGACGTGTTGTGCAATGTTTTTGTTTACCAGAGTGGCCTGTGTTTTGCACAGGAATGAGGTTTATGAGTCATTTCATAGATGGTGATTATGTGGCCACTGAAATATATTGACTCCTCATACGCCATGCCAAAATGTATGGAGCATTGTGGAAGCAAAACAATACTGCTCCAAAATAACTAAGACATAAAATCATATGCCACAGGGACCACAAGACAAAAACAGAAGAGTGAGGCAGTTTACGAGACTGAATTCCTTCTCTTTCAGAGTTTGATCTGAGGGCTTGAGTGAATTAAACATAAATTACAAATTACTTTACACTTTTAAATAGATTTTTAGTTATCCAATTGGTGGCACGGTGGCTTATTTTTTAGCAATGTCATCTCACAGCAAGAAGGTTTCTGGTTCGAGTCCCAGCTGGGCCAGTTGGCATTTCTGTGTGGAGTTTGCATGTTCTCCCCGTGTTCGCATGAGTTTCTTCCGGGAGCTCTGGTTTCCCCCACACTCCAGGTGAATTGGGTAAAAAAAAATTGCAAATAGTGTATGAGTGTGTGACTGCATGTTTGTATGGGTGTTTCCCAGTTCTGGGTTGCAGCTGAAAGGGCATCAGCTGCAAAAAAATTTTCTGGAATACAGGGGTCCTCTGGCAACCTTTCGCAACAAAAGTGCATAGGGGAGTGGGGGTAGGGAGATGTGTCGTGGACAAAAGTGAAGAGCGGGGTGGGGGGTGGTTTTAGGGAGATTGATGCATCACGGACGAAAGTGAAGAGCTGGGGGGTGTCGCAGATGGAATTAATGAGGCAGGGTGGGGGCACGGACAAAAGTGGAGAGGGGCGGGGCAGGGCGTTGTGTCATGGACAAAAGTAAAGAGGAGAGGGCACGGACAAAAGTGAAGAGTATGGAGGAGGATGTTGCTGACCAAAGTGAAGAGTGGGAGGGGTGGGGTCATTAGGACCCCTAATAATATCTCTGGGGGCCCCAAAACTGTGTGTCCTTAAGCCTGATTTATACTTCTGCGTCAAGTGACCGGCGTAACCCACAGCGCAGGCAACGCGCGTGGCTGTGCATTTATACTTCTGCGCGCTGTCTCTGTTGGTCTGCATTAACACTTCCGAAACGCTAGTTGGCAGTGAGGTGTAAATGTTCCTCTGTGTCGAGTTTCTTCTCTGCTTTTTTGCTTTTCCTGAACACTTCCGGGATGTACAAGTGGCTCAAACTCGCTCATTTTGAGGCAGGAACCGGCGGACGTGCAACAACTTTAACTATGAGGTAAACACATAACAAAACTTTCCATCTGGAGCTCCTTCACGGGACTCCACACTTGTAAACAATCGCTACATTGGGTTTGCGCCATTCGCGCGGCTCTCGGTCCCGCCCAGACTTGTCAGCGCTACCAAGCCGACCAATCACAGAGCTTGCGCTACGCGTTGTTGCGACGTGTAGGTACATTTTTTGAGAGGTGCACGTCAGTGACGGCGACGGCCACGGCGAAGGGCTATGAGTCAGCGCCGTAGCATACGCCGGTGTTTGACGCAGAAGTATAAATCAGCCTTTAGAATCGTCCTAACCCCCCCCCCAACAATGCAGGGCTGTTCCTGCTGGAATAATTGGCAGTTCATTCCACTGTGGTGACCCCTGATAATCAGACTAAGCTGAAGGAAAATGAATGAGTTATCCAATTAAATAGTCATTCATTTGATCTCATGAAGTCATTATAAATATTTAAAAGCGCCACTTATGAAAATAAACATTCCCATTACACTGTAAACAAAGCGTTTAATGCATTAGTGTACCAATATTTGCATATAACCTTAAATATACGTGTACTTTTGGCTAAGCAATATTGACATGGGAAAAAGCAAAGCGTGTAGTTTAAACAAACAACGCCACGTTAAATAACTCATCAGTCAATAGTCATTTCACTAATTTGCTTATGTAATTCTCAAACCAGCAGAGGCGCTCAAAATAAACACAAGTCATTTTCCCACATGACCCAGAAACCATTTTAATATAAACAAACTATTCACCAACGAGCATTCCCATCAAAAACACACTGCAAGCATCAGCTACTTTTTCTTTGAGTACTCCTTCCGTCCACCGCCCGCTCCGAAGTTTCGCACGCGGTGTATTTTGGAGAGCTGCGCCTCTATTGTCTCTATTATGTTGATCTGGTCAGGGATGTGGACGTACCGCACGTTTCTGCCAGTAATGAAGAGATCATCCATGCTCGACTTGCGTCCCCGTCTGTCCCTGTATAGGACATTCTCCAGCCGGATGTTCATGAAAGCGTCCACATTTATCACTCTGCCCCTCGCTGTGCTCTCGTCTCGCAGGTCAACGGTGGTCACCTGTCCATGCAGACCCTGCAGGAGGATCACCAGACTGTTCTCAGCGATGGTGCGTTCACGTATCGAATGGCTCACGTCCATGTTGATCTGTGCACAAAATAATCATGAACAATCAGACGATTTCTTTTGTGTGATATTATATCTGATTATAATACTAGGTCATGACTAGGCCCACACAGAATCAACATGTGGAGCAATCCGTAGATTTTTAGCGCATCATTGAGTCTATTTATTTACTTTGTTTACGCATTGAATTTTGAAATTAATTTCAGTATTATTGAATAATATGAAAATTATCATATGATTTATGTACAATACAGTATGTACATTAATATGTTCCGTCTGTTAGTAGATATATTATATGAGAGACTTTGTTTACCGAATAAGTGGATCTAGTTGGATTTGCACTGTAAACATTAAATACAAGTTAAAACGGTATTATTTTTATTTAATTTATTAAGATTTTTGTAATGATACTCCTAAAATCATTCTGCATAAATCCGCAGATGTTTTACAGCAAATACAGTGCTTAACATATACAAGTACAGCCCCACAGATCTCTCATTTAAATTAATGTTTTCTACAAGAAGCTTTATGAATATTATATTTATGTATTGTATTAGTTAGTACTGAAGCCAAATCTGGAGCTAATCTAACAAAATAACTTATGATAACAGTCCAAAAGTAGTTTGTAATTATTTTCTCAATATTTTACATTAATTTGAATGTAGAATCTAAAATTTCTAAAAAATGTTCTGTACGTAAAATATTAAATATATATATATATATATATATATATATATATATATATATATATATAATCTGTTTTGTTCAAATGCACCAAAATATATGCCCTATACTCACCAAGAAATAGATAAAAATATTCATTTTCAAAATGGGGTGTACTCGATTATGTTGAGAACTGTGTATCTGTAAATCTCAAAGAAGTATATGGAAAATGGTTTCCTCACATAAATGTAAAACATATCTGTCATAAGCTGAATAATTGTATTTAAATGTTGTGGGCAAGTGCATGCTTGCAGGTTTACGGCTCCGCTGACAGACACATCACACACCGCCTTTTATGAAATTGATGGAAAATATCCAAAGCAGGTTTGTTTACAAAGGTGAAATGTGAAATATGTTGTCAAATGTCTTTAAACGAATTTTAATCCGCGTTAATAACATAACATACACATACATACATAATATATTATGTTTCCATACGTTTTTGCACTGTTTAATGTCTTCATATGTCTATTTGTGTATGTGTAGGAAGATTTTTTTGCCAATTTTAGCCAACTAATATTTAATTGTTTGATTATTTTTTATATTATATTAAACATTAAATCAATAAGTATAGTATGCATACCAAGGCTAGCATTCAATTCAAGCTTATTTGTACAGCACTTTTCACAATAATGAATGTTTCAGAGGTGCAAATTATTGCATTACAATCAAATTTAGAAAATATAATATTAGTGACTGTACTGTATTAGTTACTAATAATTTAACAATAGTTTGTTTATATATATATATATATATATATATATATATATATATATATATATATATAAACATAGTTAACCTGTAGCTTTATTTATTAATGTATGCGTGTGTAGTTAATGTTTTGTGCATTTTTTACTGACTCTTTGCATTGGTTCTAAAGTTAAATACCGAATTAAGCAATAATGACGATTATCTAATAAATGCACACTGGATAGTAGCTGACTTACCAGTGTACAGTATCCACCTAACTACTAACTAGTTGAACAGGAAACCTTTACGACTTAATAAAGCACGCGAGAGTTGGAACTCAACCGAGAACATGACTGTTTAATTTTTAATGAACCACAGCCACTCATAAAAAGCTGCTGAAATAGAGAGTGAATAAAACATTTATTACCTTCCGTGGTGTTGTCTACATGCTCAAAACATGTTTACGTCCTAATGGTTTCGAGCACCGCGCTTTGTCGCAGCTGATAATTACGTCATCAAGACGTACCGGATTAAAATCGTTCGCGCGCCCTCTGGTGGCTCATTACGTCTACAACGTCAATATTTAATCGGAGAAACTGGTTAGTTTACATACTTTTTGTTTTTAAATTCAGTGTAAGTCATCTCCTAAAATGCTGCTGCTTTCTATATGTTGGGCGAGTTGATATATACTGTTATTTTAAGACGCGTTGACTGCTGTAGTCGACATTTTAATTTCATCGTCCTGTCAGAATAACGTTAGCTTCGTTTGAAATGTAGGTTCGTTACATTTCTGTATTTAACATACCATGTATTATTTGTTATTTAATGACTATAAGCCACATTTTAACTGTATTACAGTTATGAAAAACTAAAACTAAATGTTTTATCATTAAAAAGTAGTGAAAAATGTTAATACAACACTTCAAATAAAGTGTGAAGCAAATAAAACCATGAAGGGAACCGATGACAGCTGAATATGCCTTCCAGCTTGTTCTTAATAATGTTTATGAAAGTAAATATGTCAGGCATTTTCTAACAGAGCATATTTTTTGTGACCTTTCAGACCTGCCACATGCTTTCTGACTCACTGTTGATAGCGACTGACCTTTAGAGCTCATCCATCATGGCCAGCAAATCATCACCCTTGTTTCCCAGTTCCTCCGTCTGGTTTCCCTCTTCATCAAACTCTTCCGCTATGCGAGCCAGTTCAGTGCTGGCCAGCTCATCCTGGTAATACCAAGGTAATTTTTATTAACAACAACCACAACAAAATATCAATCAATCAATCAATCAATCAATCAATCAATCAATCAATCTATCTATCTATCTATCTATCTATCTATCTATCTATCTATCTATCTATCTATCTATCCATCCATCCATCCATCCATCCATCCATCCATCCATCCATCCATCCATCCATCCATCCATCCATCCATCCATCCATCCATCCATCCATCCATCCATCCATCCATCCATCCATCATTAAAAAACTATGATTTGGTCTCTTTACACTTGTATTCAGGGTTCCCACAGGTAATAGAGTTTCTGGAATATCATAGATATTTAAACGGTCTATTTCAGACATTTAAAGTCAGTATTATTTTTTTTTTTTTGTCCACGTCATATGAAATATTATAGATTTATAATAAACTTTCCATTTATCAAAATGTAATTTTTATATATTATATATAATTTTATAAATTATATATGTTTTTTATTTTCTTTTTCTTTTTTACGTGTTACCTATTACCATTTTTTCTTTCTTGCTTGTCATCTGGCTGTCAAATACATTAAAACAATATGATAAGAAAAGTACAGGTCACAAATTCTATCAACATAACTTGTTGTGTTTTGCTAAAAATGAATGAAAGTGAATGAGACCAGAAGTCTTGACACATTTAACTTACAGTGGCTCATATGAGAAATAATGTGGATAGTAGGGCTGCACAATATGTTATTTCAGCATCGATATCGCAATGTGTAAATCCGCAATAGTCACACTGCAGGACGGACAGTGCGGAGTCAGGACTGTAGTTGACCAACCGTTCAGAACACATGATCCTTTAGGAATCATTTCAGTTTAACATGAAGTAAAAAGTGATTTTAAGGCCTCAATTTAAGCGAGTTTAAAGCAGTTTTAAAACAAATGAACTATTAAGTTTGTAGCTTTAACAAAAAGGAATTGCGCTTAATAGGGTATATGCCGAGCTAGGGCTGTTCCCATGCTGATACACTTCCGGTGACCTGTTATTGTGAACTTTTTTCCATTTTATACGGTTCCTTATACAGCATCGATGTTGTTATGTCATTAAAATACATTCAGTTAAATACACTTAAGCATTTATTTGGTTGCTCAAGCGTAAAACGAGACAAAAAGCGGTTTACTCGCACGCGCCCGTCAGAATCGGCAGGCTAACGCAGAAGCTCAATTGAATATACTGGGGTAAAATAAATGCTCATATTATAAAGACATGGCGGGGGAAATGTAATTTAATGCAGTGCTTCTTGTACAATCTGAGACCCACTTAACATCGGATATCACTCAGCTAGTGGAGATCGCTCATTTTTAAAGAAAACAGACCTTAAACGAACCGGATTTTGCGTTGGCATTCAATTCGCCGGAAGCGCTTAACCCAGGTTACTGGCAAATTAAAAGTCCTATTAGCATGCTTCGGCATATACCCCATTATTTACCAATAAAGAATATACAGCTTTATCGTACATTTGATTCTTGTATTTCTGTACCTGTATAGTTTTAGACTCCTTCATTTGTATATTTGCTCTACTTCATCTCTGCTTGTAGCTTGTTTATTATATTTTATGCAAATGCTACAAAATCATCCCAATCAATCTAAAATTATTACGTTGATTAATTAACTTGTGAAATATCGCAATATAAATTGCAGAAAATAAAAATATTGCAATGCAAGTTTTTTCCAGTGCAAACTCCACACAGAAATGCCAACTGACCCTGTCGGGACTCAAACTAGTGACCTTCTTGCTGTGAGGTGACAGGGCTGAGCTACCGTGCCACCCTGTAATTTTATTTTGTTATATTAGATGTATTGATTGTTCTCATGAAACAAATGTGACAAACGTGACAAATGTGTTGTTGCTTGTTTACTTTCTGGTAACCTCCTTATGGATGGCATTAAAATCATGAGCCAAAAGCCCTGGAGTGACACCTGTGATTCTTTCTAAGAAAGATTTGACTGTTAGCAAAAAAAACGTATCCGCCCATGTGCAACAGAATAAAGCAAAACGAGGATATGAGGAGGTTTAGTGAAGTGAGTGACACCTGCGTGGCTTGTATGTTAATGACTGCTGACGAGTGTTGATCAGTTCCTTCTGAAGTTCCACTGAAAAGCAATGAAAGATATTTGGTTATTCATAGCAATGGGAATTTTCGTCTGTGATTTTTTGAATCAGGCTTTCTGTAGGTCAACTGTTTGGAATAATTAAGTATGATTAAGGGATTATGCTGACAGGATGCATTTATTTGAGTAATATAACCAATAATAGAGCAAAAATTATTTTTAATTCATTCCTATACACACTGATGTTTTCAATGACAAATCATTCATAAGAAATCATTCTAATATGCTGATGTGGAACTAATTGTTGATTATTATTTATAATGGTGTTTATTTTTAATGTTGAATGTTGCAATATTTTAAGGAAACGTTGTTTTTTTTCCCCAGGGATATTTAAAAAATGAAAAATGTAGTAAATTAATGCATGTTTGCTAAATAAATCTTCAGAATTTTTAAATTACCATAGACTGTTCAATTCCATCATGAATTCCGCTTAAATATTAAAACTAAAATTTTCTGGAGGCATAAAAAAGAGTGATAATGTAAAATCATTATTATTTGAGAACTGGAAGAAATGTTATCTGACCTTTATAGAATAAAACAAATAAAACCCATACCAATTGTAATAATCCTGCCAAATCCAGAGAATTTTCAAGTAGACTTTAAATTTATTTATTTTTTCAGTTTTTTGCAGTTGTATGTTAAAACAAAATATTTATTGGTAACCATACAATAAGATCTTAATAAATATTAAGGTTGCATTGACTAACATGAACAGACAATGAACAACACATTTATTACAATATTCATTCATTTTAGTTCTAGTTTAACTCCTTGTTCAAGCTCTTGTTCTCTCCAAACTGGATTACTGCAACTCTCTACTAGCCGGGCTTCCAGCTAACTCTATCAAGCCTCTTCAGCTGCTCCAGAATGCAGCAGCACGAGTGGTCTTTAATGAACCTAAACGAGCACATGTCACTCCGCTGCTCATCCGTTTGCACTGGCTGCCAGTTGCTGCTCACATCAAATTCAAAGCTCTGATGTTTGCTTACAAAGCGACTTCTGGCTTTGCTCCTTCTTATCTGCTCTCACTTCTGCAGCTCTATGTGTCCTCCAGAAACTTGCGTTCTGTGAATGAACGTCGCCTCGTGGTTCCATCCCAAAGAGGGAAGAAATCACTTTCCCAAACGCTCGCGTTCAATCTGCCCAGTTGGTGGAATGAACTCCCTAACTGCATCAGAACGGCAGAGTCACTCGCTGTCTTCAAGAAACGACTAAAAACTCAACTATTTAGTCTCCACTTCCCTTCCTAATCTGCAATTGCCTCTTTGGATATACCACTAACTGTACTCAAAAAAAAAAAAAAAATACGAATACTTTCCTTCTTAGACTTTACAGACCTGAAACTTGCCTATAGCACTTATTCATTGTTGCTCTTATAGTTGTGTAAATTGCTTCCTTGTCCTCATTTGTAAGTCGCTTTGGATAAAAGCGTCTGCTAAATGACTAAATTTAAATGTAGTTTAGTTTTAGTTTTAGTTCTGTTGAAACCTAATTGTAAAGTGTGACCCAACATTGTAATTCTCTTTTAAATATTACTATATTTCCTTCATAAACATAGCATTTTTTTCTATGCATTATGTTTTGTGTGTATTTAAAAGCACAACAGTAAATTGAGCATGTGGTGGAGCTTGTGTGTGGACCTATATTTTACAGTCTAGGGTGTGGACTTGGCAGGATTAGGCTTGGACTAGTAATGCTCACCTGCTCTCCTCCTCCAGGTTTATGTTAAAACAAATAAAATATTTATTGGTAACCATACAATAAGATCTTAATAAATATTAAGGTTACATTTACTTGCATGAACAGACAATAAACAACACATTTATTACAATATTTGTTCATGTTAGTTAATAAAAATACAGTTGTTCATTGTTAGTAACTCATGGTGCATTAACTAATGTTAACAAGAATGAATTTGGATTTTAATAATGCATTAGTAAATGTTGAACTATGATTATTAAATGCTCCACAAGTATTGTTTATTATTATTTTATGCTAGTACATTGACACCTAATTGTAAACTGTGACCCATTAATGTAATTCTCTTTTAAATATTACTGTATTTCCTTCATAAACATAGCATTTATTCCTACGCATTATGTTTTGTGTGTATTTAAAGGCACAACAGTAAATTGAGCATGCTGTGGAGCTTGTGTGTGGACTTGGCAGGATTATGCTTGGATTAGTAACGCTCACCTGCTCTCCTCCTCCTGGTTTAAAGCCAGCAGGTTGACTCTGAAAGCAGCGTCCACATTGGAGAGCTTCTGCACCTCCATTCCTCCCATCAGTTTAGCCAGCAGATTGAGCTCCTCTGTGGCCAAAGGATTGGGTGTCGAATCGGCCTGATTTTCACACAAAATACAATGACATTCAGAGAGCCTTGAGGTGTAATGATAAAACCTCATGCTACTTTCCAATATATTGTTTAGGTCACATTTTACAATTATGGAAGCACATGCAGTGGCAAATTGTTTAATGTAAAATGCAAAATGACAATGCAGTATGTACAGTGCTCAGCATAAATGACTATCCCATTTTGATGAGTAGTTGGTCCCACTTTATATTAAGTGGCCTTAACTAATATGTACTTACATAGGAGTTAATAGTTTGTTACAATGTACTTATTGTGTAAATACATGTATTTACTGTGTACTTATGCTTGATTAAATACATGTATGTAATTGCATCTGTAATTAACTTTTGTAATTACATTTGTAAATACACTGTTGACCATCCCTTACACCTTAACTCACCCTTAAACCTACCCATACAACCAAACCTGTCCATAACCCAACCTCTATCCCAACTCAAAAGCACTACGTGTTCTCAAATACATTATAAACACAGTAAGTACATTGTATTTATTTTTTTGATGCAAGTACATAGTAGTTAAGGACACTTAATATAAAGTAAGACCAAATATTTTGATCCATTTCTCAGTGAATATAATTTACTAACATAAATACATAATGAGCAGCACACTTATTACAGAATTCATTCATTGTTGTGATCTTATTTAAGGAAGATACAGTCATTTATTGTTATTTCTTGTTAATAAACAGTGCGTTAACTAATGTTAACAAGCACAATATTTTATTAAGGCATTAATACATGTTGAACTATGGTTAATAATTGCTGTACAAATATTGTTTATTATTAGTTCATGTTAATAAATACATTAAATAACATGAACTAATGGAACCTTATTGTAAAATTATATTAATTATATTAATGTATTACAGTATCCACTAATATTAATTATATTAATGTATTACAGTATCCACGGCGAATGAAGTTCTGCACAAGACTTTTGGCCAGCGGAGAAATTAAAATGGTGGTGCCAAACTGAGTCTGGTTCTCAAGGTTTTTTTTCTTCACTCACATCAGGTGAAGTTTTTTTTTCCCTCTTCGCTGTCGCCACTGCCTCGCATGGTTCAGGATTGGTAGAGCTACGCATCGATGAATTTGCTCTTCAGTGTTTGAACTCTCAGTAATAATTAAATCACACTGAACTGAGCTAAACTGAACTGAACTGAACTTAAACACTAAAACCTGAACCACACTGTTACAGTTACTATGACCATTTATGTGAAGCTGCTTTGACACAATCTACATTGTAAAAGCGCTATACAAATAAAGCTGAATTTAATTGAATTGAATTAAAGTCAGAATTATTAGCCCCCTTTAATTTTTTCTTCTTTTTTTTAAAAAATATTTCCCAAATGATGTTTAACAGAGCAAGGAAATTTTCACAGTATGTCTGATAATGTTTTTTCTTCTGGAGAAAGTCTTATTTGTTTTATTTCGGCTAGAATAAAAGCAGTTTATAATTTTTTAAACACCATTTTAGGGACAAAATTATTACCCCCTTTAAGCCATATTTTTCCTCGATAGTCTACAGAACAAACCATTGTTATACAATAACTTGCCTGATTACTTGCCTAATTACTAACCTGCCTAATTTACCTAGTTAAGCCTTTAAATATCACTATAACGTGTATGGAAGTGTCGTGAAAATATCTAGTAAAATATTATTTATTGTCATCATGGCAAAGATAAAATAAATCAGTTATTAGAAATGAGTTATTAACACTATTATAATTAGGAATGTGTTGAAAAAACTCCCTTAAACAGAAATTGGGGAAAAAATAAACAGGGGGGCTAATAATTCAGACTTCAACTGTATGTATGTTCTTGTTTATTTTACTTCAGTGTGAGCTGTACTCCTGGAAACTGCCGTGGAGCCTGCAGTAAGGGTTGTACCTGCTTTGGCTTCCCTCTGCTGGTGTTTGTGGATGACGGGTTCATGTCTTCAGGTGAGGGTGTGCTGTACCTGTGCAGAGGTCACCAGAGATTATTCACTCCAGCAACTAATAAGACAATAATATATTATATATACAATAATATATTTGTGCGTATACACTAGATTAGTTAGTATTGAAGCCTGTGGGGTCTTCTCAACCAAATTAATCATTAATAAAAAAACATAATTAAATTAATGTTATTATAAATGAATTAATCATGTCATGTATTTATTTAATTAGATAACAAATTGCTTAACAATACACATGCAGTATAAAACTACTACTGATATTTCTTCCAATGTTTTGGTTTATAATGTGTGTCATGTTCATTTTGACAACTTTTATTAAGTTAAAACTTTAGCATTGTGTTAAGAAGTCAATATCTGGTGGAATAACCCTGATTATTAATTATCTTTTAATAAAATTAAATAATTTTTAATTTAATAATGTAAAAAAACACAGTTTTACTTACTTAAAAATAATTTTGCTGCTTGTTCAGACTACTTATTTAGAAGAAGTCAAATCAACACAATTCTGGAGTTTTTTGAGGGACAAAAGTTTTTTTTTTAATTCAGACAAAATTTTAATTAAAAGTTGCATATTTTATATTCTATGTAATTAATTTAAATATTTTTTTAATAAAATATTTTGATTACAATTTATTTATATAAACTGTATATATACCATATATAAACTGTGTATCTAAAACTGTATAATGTATATATAAATTGTATATAGTATTTTATTCTAGTTACAGTATCCTTAATCCCTAATTATTAATGTTGATATTTACATGTTGGTGCCCAGAAGTGTGACCCTGTCTCCATAGAGGTCCAATGATCCCGGGTTTAAAGCGCTCGTGTAGCTTCCTCCACTGGGGAATCTGGTCCTCATCACCTCTCTGCCTTTTGCATTAAACAACCTGCAAGACAAGATTGTCTATGACAATATATACTGTATAGACAAGAGAAAAAAAAATTATAATTTCTTATTATGCTCTATTGTTTAGTTGTAATGTCACAAAAAACATTGTTCATCCATAGACTTTAATACACTCTAATATGAGCACAATATTATATGCCATTATGGTAATGGAGACAAAACATGAACAACAGCATTGTGAGAACGTTGCAATGTTGAAAGTACAACGTTTACATTTTCATTTCATTCAGCAATACATATTTGTTTTCTAAATCAACATTTCCATTCTAAATAAATTGAGAAAAATTATCACATATGGATGGGTAGATTTTTTAACAAATATTTTAAAATGTAAAAAAGAAACGTGCTTAATATATATAAACTTATAATTGATTGAAGTTACTTAAATGGTGTTTTCCAGTTAAAAGCTATTATAATTATATTTCATTATATATATATATATATATATATATATATATATATATATATATATATATATTCAATATAGTAATAGTATACATTTATAACCTTTCGTCTTCTTTACCTTATTAAACCAGGAACCTGAAATCCGTAAGGCACCGGCCCTGAAGTCTGCAGCACAAAGTGCCCATTTGGATTCTGGATTTTTTCTTTCAAGAAAATTGAAACCTGAATGAAAAAAATGTCATGAAATCAGTTTCATTATGCATACTTGGCAATAACCTAGCCTGAACGTTCTTACATAAATGTCATGAGATGATTTGCATATAACCGTATGGCCTGGCAGCGAGCCACTGCAAACACTCAGAATAATAGACTTCACAGGTAAGAAGCATTCACTCACCCTGATTTGCATATCTTGAAAAAGAAGCAGCAGTGTGTGCCTGATGAGTTGAAGCTCTCCGTCGGATAAGGGTGTGTATACCTTGGAAGAGGAGCCTTTTAATAACACTTTCACAGAAAAGCAACTTGATCTCTAGTTACTTCATAACATAAGCACAAGTTAACCTAAAAAATTATAAAAGGGATGTAGTGATAAACAGTTGAATGCAAAATATTTAACCCAAGCACATTCTGAAAACAGTCCCATGGACGTTTCTGGAGACCGCCAAATATGTCCCGGGAGGTACGTATTTGTGCAGTTTTTGTTTTCGCAAATCCGCGAGAGGCCGCTGTGCGCGTTTTTTTGCATCTCGATCATCTCTTGGGAGTGCCGTTCGCACCCATGCCATTCTCGCATAAACCCACAAGAAGCCGCTTTCGAACGACTGTTTGTCCGACTGGCTGAATGATTGACTGGGCGACCGGCCAATCGGCCGACCCATCCTCCTCCTCCTTCCCTAAACTCAAGCAGTTTTACTGATTGACCCGCCCCCCGCTTGCTTCCCTAAACCAAACCAACAATTTACAAAAAAAATCCATCCAGAAAAAGAAAAGCCCTCGTCTGATTTCTACCACGTTTTCGGATTTGACCACATTCTCAGCCTGGTATTGACTTGTTCACTTTATTTTTTGGATTCTGTTTTTTTCTTACCTAATTTCTGGAACCGCTCTTCCCCGGACTCGAGTCCGGTCGTCTTCGTCGTTGTGGTCAGTTCCCCTCTGCATCTCAAGTCCGCCGACGTGCAAGACGAGCTAACTGGACAAAGTGGTTGTGGCAGAAAAGCCCTCCACACGGAGGTAAGTGGTCAGCTGGCGAGCGCGAAAAGGAACGGCGTTACACCGCCCCGTAGCGTTCGCTTAAAAAATGAAATGCAGCCATACGTACCTCCGGCTACATAATTTGCGGTCTCCAGAAACGTCCGCAGGAGTACGTTTTCAGAATGAGCCTGGGTTAAAAATATTAATATTATTCTGGAGAGAGACTTATGACTGTTAGTTTAGCTGGAATAAAAGCATTTTTATGGTCAATATTATAAGCCGCCTAAAGAAATATAGATTTTTTAATCGTCTACAGCACAAACCACTGTTGCCTATAGTGACTTGCCTAATTAAAGGTGCAGCATGTAAGTTTGACACCCAGTGGTTGAACTAGGTATTGCACGCCTGGTTCAAAACACATGCAAGTACAGGTTGCCAGATTAAAGACACCAACAGGAGCGAGCCTGACTATCAAGGTTGATTTAGGTCATGTTGTAAATAAAAGCAAGGTCACCCAGTAGGAGTTTTTGTCCTAACCAACACCTGAAATATATATTTTAGTAACGGCTTGTTTTTTGCAGCTGAACAACAGAAAACTTACAATGATCTCAGGTACACCTCATGTGCTTTATTCATTGTTAAATGCTAATAATATGATTTTAAATGCCATTTTACATGACATTTACTACCATACTACTAAAAATAGCAGCAGATAGTTCCCCTCAGAACTTGAAAATAAAATAATACGCCTGAATTAGAACCTCAGAACTGTGACTCAGTGCAAGCCAACACATATCAGGGATTTAGCCTGTACATTTAATAATGTTAAAGAGGTTTAACATGTATTAATTAGATTATAAACCTTACCATTTCGTTGGAGTGCAGCGAGTGAGCTATTCTGTGCTTTTGAATGGCTGTATTTACATTTCTGTTGTGTTTTTGCAGTAATTTCGCAGTCTGTAACTGTCCACGGGAGGTTGCATTTCAGTCGCAGATACATGCTTTGAGAACCTTCCTGACTGAATGAACGAAATACGCAGTTTTCCAACAAGGCAACCCAGAGTGCTGAAATATAAGTGATTAAACTGGCAGCGGCTGAGTTAAAGAGATCAAAACAAAGACTGACGTTCTGGCTCGTAACGCACATTTTTAAAGCAGAATATCTGACTTCAGCATTGTTTTTCAGATAAACAAGTATATCACTTAGTATGTTTCTTAAATACATGCAAACATAATATGATATGTTGATGCTTTAGAAGAGTCAAAAACTTACATACAGCACCTTTAACCTAACTAACCCTAATAAGGCTTTATATTGCACTTTAGGCTACTAAAGTGCTATTATCCTGCACAATAAAGAGTAAAATGTAAGGTACTGTCATCATAGCTAAGATCAAATAAATAGTTAATAAAGTTAACTATTAAATAAATAGAGTAAATAAAACTATTATGTTTAAAAATATATTAAACATCGCTTGTGAAGTATTTGAAAAATTATTAAAAGCGCACACATTATTTGCACACAATGAAAGAAAGTATTTGATTAGAGAAACACTATAAAAACTAAATATTAAATCATCTTAAAAACAAAATTCAAATAATTTGTTAATGCAAACTACACTAATTCGAAATAAGTAAAAAAAAAACTGAATTAATTTAAGTGTAACAAGTTGAAGCATTGTGTTTACGTTAATCCGGTGTTTGACTTTTTGCAATGCAGTGGGAGTTTACCTCAATAAGCAGCCGTTGGGCTTCATTGATCTGGTTAACAAGGCTGGGATTATCCTTTACCAGTTCCTTAATGGCGTCTGTGTGGTTGAAGGTGATCAGCAGTAAATCTTGTGGACGTGGACACAAAACCAGCTGATACTTAAAGGTCATGGTCATCAAATCGTACAGCTGCGATTAAGAAAACAGAATTAGAGAGATGAGAACATCTTTCAGCCACATAACCATGCATTCAAGTCATATTTAATATACTAATACCATGATTGTATTACTATTGATGCTGCTGCATGTTCTCCCCGTGTTGGTGTGGGTTTCCTCCGGGGGCTCCCCACAGTCCAAACACATGCGCTGCACTCTCAGAAATACAGGTACGTGAGCTGTCACTGGGGTGGTACCTTTTCGAAAGGTACAAATTTGTACCTAAAAGGTCCATATTAATACCTCAAGGGTGCATATTATTACCTAAAAAGTACAAAAGTGTTCCTCTTAAAATGTTTAGGTACTAATATGTACTCTTAAGCTATTAATATGGATCTTTTAGGTACAAATTTGTACCTTTCGAAGAGGTACCACCCCAGTGACAGCTCACAAACCTTTATTTCTGAGAGTCTATAGGGGAGTTGAATAAGCTAAATTGGCCATAGTGTATGAGTGTGTGTGTGTGTGTTTGTGAATAAGTATTTATGGGTGTTTCCCACAACAGTGTTGCAGCTGGAAGAGCATCCACTGTGTAAAAAATGAATGATAATACACATATATTGTGTATTAAATAATATACAGCATATAAAAACAGTATAATAATTGAATAATATTTACACTATGTATAGTTTAATTAGGGAAGATTACGCTTTTTGTTTCATAATTTTCATTATAAGCTGTTTTAATGCTGGCAATAAAAAAGCGATGCATAAAATGTCTTATCGATACAAACTTTTATACATTTGCATAACAGTAATGAAGTGAGTTCTGTAATGAAAAGGGTGAGTTCATACCTTGTCCATGCTTGCCGGATTGAGACGCATAATAGATGTGTGTGCTATCCGAGTTAACACTGTCCGCAGGGCTCGGTGAGAGTACAGGTCCTGCGGCCGCAGGAGTTCCTCCAGAAACACTTTACTAAACATAGTGCTCACTATATCATTCATAACTGCATAAAGAGAATGAGAAAGATGAGGGAGAAATATTAAGACAAGGCCAACATCTTTAACATCTCACAAAAGGACAAAGAAAATGGGTAGAAGCTCAATTTTGCTGCATTAAAGGGGAATTTCATCTAAAAATGAAAATGCACTCACTATTTACTCTCCCTTACAAATCTTTTTGCATTCATTCATTTTCTTTTCGGTTTAGTCCCTTTCTTTAGAAGGGGTCGCCACTGCGGAATGAACCGCCAACTTATCCAACACGTTTTTACGCAGCGGATTCTCTTTTAGCCACAACAAATCTCTGGGAAACATCCACACACACACTCATTCACACTCATACACTACGGACAATTTAGCTTACCCAATTCACCTGTACCGCATGTCTTTGGACTGTGAGGGAAACCGGAGCACCCGGAGGAAACCCACACGAACGCAGGGAGAACATGCAAACTCCTCACAGAAACGCCAACTGACCCAACCGAGGCTCGAACCAGCAACCTTCTTGCTGTGAGGCGACATCACTACCTACTGCGCCACCACATCGCCTACAAACCTTTATGTGTTTTTTTTATTCTATTGAACACAAAAGAAGATATTTTAAAGAATGATAAAAACCTGTAACCATTGACTTCCATTAAGGGAAAAACAAATACTGTGAAAGTCAATGGTTACCGGTTTCCAGCTTTTCAACAAAATATCTTCTTCTGTGTTCAACAGATTTTTTTTTTTTTTTTTTTGTGTGTGTTTTACAGAATGTAACATAACAAATGTTACAAAAAAAAAGGAAATGTACCTCTTTTCCGGTCATCCTCTGTCCAACAGCCTGCAACACAGACATGAACCTTCATTTATTTAACAGAGTACCTGAAGCTGTCTGTAACAAATTACCTCCTGCTGTATATTTACTAATAAGGTTTTAGTTGAAAGCCTGTTTCAGTGTTTTATGTATTTCTGGTTTGTGTTTCTGCCTCAAATTTCAGGTTATTGTGTACTAAATTCCCTTAAAACAAACTTTGAAATTGTATTTGGCCTTTTAGAAATGTGTGGTCATACACAAATATACAAAAATACCTATGAAAGCTAACAGACAGTTTATGTTATATGCTTGTTTGTTTAATTGGTTATATTGTCAGACCAGCACAAAAAAAAGACTAAAAATACCATAGATCCAATATGATTAACATCTGACTACGAGTGGTTACTCACAAGTGTGCCTTCAGTTTTTATATCTGCACTTTATTTAGGCTATTTTGAGATATAAGAAACTATATTATACATGTTTAGTCATATAAATGAATGTGTCGACACGCCAGGCTATTGAATGTTTTTGGTAGTCTCCTAAGGCAGGAGTTGTTCGTTTAGCAGCTACTGTGGTCTACTGTTGGTTACCTCTCTGAGTTTTTTCATCGCTTTCATCCGGCGCTCGGAGGCGCTGATCCAGAATGTAGATCATTTCCCCGCCGAGGTTTATAATGAGCAAAGGAAGAGTTCTCTGAGACATGTTGGATTAGCTTTTGTACGTTTTGGTTACATAAATTGGTTACTGAAGTTCATTTTCTTCTTGCTTTCTCTGCAGACGGTCACATCAAAAGCGAGCGCTTCTAGCGGGGCATTATGACGTCACCTAATACCGCGCTGACCCACTGCTCCAGTGCGCGCGCGCGCTCTTAAACACCTGTCATCGCAGGATTATTAGCATGCTTATTCCTTGGTATTTTTTAATATACCGTATTTAATGCATGCATCGTGGGTAAATGATGTTAATTAGCCTAATTTTAGAAACATATTGTTGTTGTGTACTTTTTTCTCAGGTAATTTAAACATTTTAATGATGTTTTGTTTTATTGAATTGTTCCAGTTACAGAAATAAAGTCGATTCTACCCTGAAAGATAAGATTTTAAAATAGCAGTTTTACTCACTATTTACTTTCCCTTACAAATTTGTATGTTTTGTTTTATTCTGTTGAAAACAAAAGAAGATATTTTGAAGAATGATGAAAACATTTAACCATTGACTTCCATTATAGGAAAAACAAATACTGTGGAAGCCAATGGTTACCGGATTCCCGCTTTCTTCAAAGCATCTACCTTTGTGAAAAGATGATAGTAAAAGTCAAACAGCAAACAATTGTTTTGGCTAATAAATATGCATTGCTTTTCATAATTTGCAGTACAGTGTTGTGGTCTGATTAAATAAAATAGGCCTACTGTAAATACTATTCATGGTAAATTTACCGCATAATTGCAGTTGAATTCACCTGTCAGTTATAAAGGTTTCTTTTAATTACATACGCCATCTGTTTATAGTGAATGGATGCAAACTATTTCATTTTACATGCACTGTATAGGCAAATTAAGTCAAATGCTGTAGAGCTGCATCTGTTAAGGATGTAAAGTACATGACAAAGGGAAAGACTGCCAACATCACCAATTCTTGGACTGTCAGGTAAGTAGTCTACTCACTTTATGAAGTATTTGTTGCTTGGCAATGTAACATGCTGGCTAAAGGCACATTTGTTTACTTTTAGCAGGGAAACTCTTGTTCTTTTAACATGTGGAACTACTGAAGTCTGGATTTTGCTCACATTTAAAGGTGATCTTAAAGAATTTTATGACTGCACATGAAAGAATTAAATGTTTTACAGTAGCAGTGTTCAATGTTTTTTCCCCAGAAGGCGTTACAGAAGGAAGCTAGGAACAATGGGGAACCTTCAGTACTTTTCTGTATTCCTAGTGTAAGTTGAGTAATACTGAATGAGAAATGAAAACATTTAGATGTATTGGATCTGTGAGTAAAGTATTGGCATAATTAATTCATTACTCTTCTGTTTTGTTTTTTGTGTATCCTGCAGGGTGTTGCTCTGTAATTGTGAGGCTAAAAAACATGTCAGCAGTTCTGAATCCCTCAGTCGCAAGTATATTAAGCACAAGTGGATGGAGAAATTAGAGGATAGCAGGCTTCTGTCATCTATATCAATCCCTGGGACACACCAAAGCAGCAAACACTTAAAAACGTCCAAACCAAGGTTTCAGTCCTGGGTTCTGCACAACCAGCTGGATGCCGGCGTTCGCTTTTTTGAATTGTCTGTGTCTTCAAACACCATCAAGTATGATGGGTCTGAAGGAGTCCAAGAATCAGAGACGCTTTCTTATGTGTTGAAAACTCTGCTGACATTTCTTGCAAAGCAGGACTCAGAGACGGTGTTGCTGAGAATCACTCCAGATGAGGGTGCTGTTGCTCAAGTCACTGAAAAGTTAAACCGTAAAAAAAGTGAATTCTGGGAAAGTGAAGAGATTCCAACATTGGGCCAGGTGAGAGGCAAGATAGTCTTGATTCAGAGTTCAACATTAAAATTAGGACTTCCCATTCAAATAACAGAGCTGGATGGAGATGCAAAAGAAACGCAAATGAGACAAAACATCAAGTTAGCTTCAGAAAACTGTGATCGGGAGATGAGGCTCTCATACACCGGGGCCAAAGGAGAATCAGAGGACCCGCTAGAAATCGCAAAAACAGTGAATAAACCTGTCGACGATTACCTCCTGGATCTTAAAGGGGACACCAGTAGACCAAATTGTGTAGGAATAATTGCCATGGACTTCCCTGGTCCAAAGGTCATTGAAACAATCATCAATTTTAATGGGAAATTAGAACAGGGGGCAAAGTTAGTAGATGACACAAGTAGCAAAGATGATGTCGCCCTACCCAATTCTACTCCAGGAGGTGAAAAAACTGGAGGAGATGATGGTGGAGGTGAAGATACTCACCATGAGGGTGATGAACATACTCACCATGAGGGAGATGAACATACTCACCATGAGGGAGATGAACATACTCACCATGAGGGAGATGAACACACTCACCATGAGGGTGATGAACATACTCACCATGAGGGAGATGACCATACTCACCATGAGGGAGATGAACATACTCACCATGAGGGAGATGACCATACTCACCATCAGGGTGATGACCATACTCACCATGAGGGAGATGACCATACTCACCATGAGGGAGATGACCATACTCACCATGAGGGAGATGACCATACTCAGCATGAGGGTGACGAACATACTCACCATGAAGGAAATGACCATACTCAGCATAAGGGTGATGAACATACTCACCATGAGGGAGATGACCATACTCACCATGAGGGTGATGAACATACTCACCATGAGGGTGATGAACATACTCATCATGAGGGAGATGACCATACTCACCATGAGGGAGATGAACATACTCACCATGAGGGTGATGAACATACTCAGCATAAGGGTGATGAACATACTCACCATGAGGGAGATGACCATACTCACCATGAGGGTGATGAACATACTCACCATGAGGGTGATGAACATACTCATCATGAGGGAGATGACCATACTCACCATGAGGGAGATGAACATACTCACCATGAGGGTGATGAACATACTCATCATGAGGGAGATGACCATACTCACCATGAGGGAGATGACCATACTCACCATGAGGGTGATGAACATACTCATCATGAGGGAGATGACCATACTCACCATGAGGGAGATGACCATACTCACCATGAGGGTGATGAACATACTCACCATGAGGGAGATGAACATACTCACCATGAGGGTGATGAACATACTCATCATGAGGGAGATGACCATACTCACCATGAGGGAGATGACCATACTCACCATGAGGGTGATGAACATACTCACCATGAGGGTGATGAACATACTCATCATGAGGGAGATGACCATACTCACCATGAGGGAGATGACCATACTCACCATGAGGGTGATGAACATACTCACCATGAGGGAGATGACCATACTCACCATGAGGGAGATGAACACACTCACCATGAGGGAGATGAACATACTCACCATGAGGGAGATGAACATACTCACCATGAGGGTGATGACCATACTCACCATGAGGGAGATGACCATACTCACCATGAGGGAGATGAACATACTCACCATGAGGGAGATGACCATACTCACCATGAGGGAGATGAACATACTCACCATGAAGGAGATGACCATACTCACCATGAGGGAGATGAACATACTCACCATGAAGGAGATGACCATACTCAGCATAAGGGTGACGAACATACTCACCATGAGGGAGATGAACATACTCACCATGAGGGAGATGACCATACTCACCATGAGGGTGATGAACATACTCACCATGAGGGAGATGAACATACTCACCATGAGGGAGATGACCATACTCACCATGAGGGTGACGAACATACTCACCACGAGGGAGACGAACATACTCACCATGAGGGAGATGAACATAATCACCATGAGGGAGACGAACATACTCACCATGAGGGTGATGAACATACTCACCATGAGGGTGATGAACATACTCACCATGAGGGAGATGACCATACTCACCATGAGGGAGATGACCATACTCACCATGAGGGAGATGACCATACTCACCATGAGGGAGATGAACATACTCACCATGATGGTGACGAACATACTCACAATAAGGAAGATGGACATACTCATCATGAGGGAGATAATGGAGGAGGTGGAAAACATACAAAAAAAACAAGACATAGAAAAATCATTAAAAAAAAATGTCGCAAAGTTCATCGAAAACGAAAACCATCTCCTTTATTAGTGGATTAAACATGAAATAAACCACATGTTGATGTTGAAAACTTCCACATTTTAATCTCTAACAACACTGATACAGCACAACCATCCTGTAAGCCAAATAAAATGCCTAAACTTTCAGTACATTGCAGAATTGTGTCCTTCTTTATTTGTTTGTCGAGTAAAAATAGCTTGTTGTTTTGTGAAGACAGACAGAGGAGTCTTCGTGATCAAAGCCGCTAGCTGTGGTTTAAGTCAGTGTTCAACTTAGGGGTTTCCCTTTTTTCCAAACCACAAAGGAAATTATTTTATCACATAGCAAATTGTACATGATTGTGTAACTATTATTCCCTTGACATTTGTATTTATGACCCCAAGTTAATATCAATCAGATAAAATGTGTGAAAAAAAAAGTTTTGCTGCCGGTGTGGTGACAAGCTAAGCTAAAGTTTCCATGAGAGTCAAAAAATATATAGCATGGGGCAGGATAAGAGAGTTAAATAACATAATTACTCTAACTCTAATGCAAAAATATATCTGCTTGACCTCAAATTAATCAAATACCTTTTGTAAAGAAGCGTCATTTAAACAATAGGTTACAATAGTGCCTATAGTAAACACTAGTTTCTATAGATCAGTATTGGTCGATGACTTCTGGTTTTTCTAGGAAAGAAAACGAGGAAGTTGAAACAGATCTCATATGACTTCAAAAATATGACGTACTTTTGACTCTAATGGGAACTTAAATGAACAGCATTGTGCATTTGACACATGTAAAACTTTCAAACTTTGGCTTATTTACCATATTTCCAAAGGCTTAGCAGGTGGAATAAACACAAGTGGAACAAAAACAAGCTTAAATCAGAAATAATGAATAATTTCTTCAAAGCCACAACACGTACAAATCTACAATCGGTTTGCAAGATAATTAAAATGGCGATGCTAATTTAAGATACTTTATTGAGCGGTTTGTTCATTCAGAACATTAACAATGGCATTTAAAATGTGCTTTTGAAACACAGCCGGGTGAACACAAGGAAAAAAATTAGAAAAAACACAACTCTCCGTGACGTCAGCAAGTGTTTGACTTCCTGGTTTCTTTAATAAAGGTGTGACGATACTGTCGGCTGTATTTGCTGATTTGAGTTCAACAGAAAGGAAGTATACGAGTTCGTTGGATTAACAAGACGGCGGCTCAGAACACAGATACAGCTGAGGTTCGTGTAAATGTTTTGTTACTTGAAACTTTTTAACCATGACGTTAAAAGTTAATCTCCTCAGAAAAGTATATGCTACAAAGCTGTAGTTACGCTGTGTTGATTTTCCATCAGTTGACGTTGACATTTATGAAAGTGAAATAGCAAGTCGAGGATATGTCGTGAGTTTATCTATTTAAAATGTATATAAGTTTTGTAAACAAACTGATAAAGTTGAGTAATGGAGCAAAGCGCGTCCGTGTGCTGGAATGCGGGAGCGCGCCCGAATAAACTGAACCCAAACAGTGAAATAAAGTGATTTCGGTCATGTAGTACTAACATTTAAGACTGAAGTACTTATATGACCTATAAATTGTAACATGGCAGTTAGCCTGAAGTTTCAGAATTGAAGATTCCAATTCCCATACGTAAGTTAGACAGGTTGTTTGCTATAAAATCAATGGTTTGTGTTTTATTGAGGTAAGGAAACTGTGAAAACTTGTGTCAACGTCCCTATATAGTGTAACATATATAGTGTAACACGCTATTTTGAATATTGGGTCTAATATCGCATGTAAGTGTGACTTAAAAACAACACTATTAAATTCACTGTGAACAATGTCATTTGATAGTCATGGCTGCTAATATGATTATCCCTTTTATAGTTAGCAAATAATACTTTTCTCAAGTTATATCATTAAGGAGAAAGTGGGAATGAGTGAATATAAAACCAACCTTAACCAGATTTATATATTTATTGTTAATATCATGTTTTTTTTAAATGTATTATTATATAAATGTTATTAGCATACTTTTATAGTTGTTTTAAAATGATTTAATATTCTTAATTTAACTCGAATTGATCTCAGATGTTGTCATCTAAAGTTATATATAAATCTCTGAATTCATCATCGTTAAACTTTCTGTAAACAGGTGTGACCGACAAAGACGGGTTTCCAGAGGAAGAGAGATGAGTGCTGAAATTAGCACCATCCCCACATTACAGTTGTATTTGGATCCCCTTTGGCCATCGAGTGTTGGAACCTCTGACATAGACCCCTCCACCGCATGGGTTTCAGCACCTAAGTCGCCGTACAAACCTCCTTTGTCTTCCAGCATTAATATGGACCCATCTCAGCCCAGTCCAACACAAGAAGAGTCCTCAGAACTGAGCTCTGAGTTTCAAACTCAGCTCGATCTGTTCCTGAAGCTGGGGTTTTCCCAAACTCAGGTTCGTGCCGCTTTCCTGAAACTTGGGCTCCACGCGGACACAAACAAGGTTTTGGGTGAGCTAATAAAGGCTACTGGGGAAGCAGAGGATAAAGATGATACTACAGCCTCAACAACGCTGGTTTCACGCGGGGATGGTTCTAGTAAAGTCAGAAGCCCCCAAAACCAGAGTGTAGCAACGGTGATGAACACTCAGGAGGAGCTGGTGAAGGACGAAGACGCACTCAGACCCATAGTCATTGATGGCTCTAATGTAGCCATGAGGTGAGATTCAGCAATATATGATTACATATTCCATATATGCATTGGAATATGTTGAGTTTATAGTCATTTTTGTTCATGCAGTTAATTTCTTTAGTAAATGTCAAGATGATGTTATGACAGTAGACGATAACAGTTAAAAAAAAAAGCAGTAACACTTTAAAATATTGATTAATGATATGGTTATGTATTTACTAACATTAGTGCAGTATGAATAGTCTTGTAAAGCATTTATGAATCATATTTCAGCATCAGGTAATGCATTTAAAAATGCAGTTGTGCTTGTAAACATTAGTTATGAACTGAGTTAACATGAACTAACATTATTTAACATTAACATTAATGAAAATTATTAAATACAGTAATAAATGTATTCCTAATTGTTTGTTCATGTTAGTAAGTTCATTAATTACTTGCATTATTAAAATCCAAAGTTGTGCTTGTTAACATTAGTTAATGCACTGTGAGTTAACATGAACTAACGTTATTTAACATTAACATTAATGAAGATTAATAAAGCAGTAATAAACATATTACTAATTGTTTGTTCATGTTGGTAAGTACATTAATTAACAGACCAGTAATTTGAAGTGTTACCAAATAAAACTAAATTAAATAATATTCTAAAACTAGATCAGTCAGAAGTTAGGAGTAATTAATTTATATTTTTTTTAAACGGTAAAAAATCCCAGTTGCAGCCTAAAGTTCATATTTTTCATTGGAAATAAATGTATTTGATATGATTTTTTCTAGTTGTTGGCCCTGATAACTTAGTGTTCAGTGCTCCGATATATAGCACTTAATCGCTCTGGGTGTCTCGAGTCCCAGCTCATGGACCATTCCCCATCCCGTCCCCCATCTCTCTCCCACTTTATTTCCTGGCATCCTACTGTCTTATAAAATAAAGGCAAAATAAATCTTTTAAAATATACATTCTAGTTAGTGCTGGGCAAAAGTTAATCGCATCCAAAATAAAAATTGACATAATTTAAGTGTATGTACTGTGCTTATTATGTATCCAAATTTCAGAAAATGTTTATTTTTATTTATATTATTCTAAATTAAATATCATTTTAAATAATTATGTAACAATTGTTTTGTATAGTTTTGTTTCTATGTATGTGTATGTATTATAAATATATAACACACATATATTATTATGTTAAAACAAACTTTTAATTTGGGTGCAATTAATCGTGATCAATCTTTGCCCAGGACTACTTATTATAATACTTAATACTCAATAACACTTTTATTATTGTCTTTTAAACAGAATGGGATCAGTGCCCAGAAAATAAACTTGTTGAAATTCAGCAAGAAATAGTAAAAAAAATCACATTTATTTTTTTAAGTCAAGACACGATGAGATTGTGTATAGAAGATGTATAGAAGATTGGACTCACGAGACTCACACATGAACATTTACTCAAAGGAGAAGAACCCCCCCAAAATGTCTTTATTGCAACAAAAACCAAACTGTAAAACACATTCTTGTGTAATGCCCTATTTTTAATTTTATCAGACAACAATTTTTGACTAAGTGAAATTTTTTTTTTTATAAAATTGTAGAATTTTTATCAAAAGGAAACCTTAAACTGTTTTAGATTTTTATATTATCATTATTATTATTATTTATATATTTTTACTTGTGTATTTTTTATTGCTGTTAATGACTTCTAATTATTAGGACATTTTTATAGATATAGAAAAGTGGTATTTATAAAATGTGGTAACCTTAATCTGTTTTTTTTTTTTGCCATGACATAGCCATAGAAGCTGAAATGGCCATAAAATTAAAACTCTCTATCTCCCATTACTGTCTTTTAATGAATAGATGCATTCTTGGAGAGCATAAGAGAAAAAAAAAACATTGGTAATCTTAAAGGGATAGTTCAGCCAAAAAATTACAGTTCTGTCATCATTCACTCATCCTCCAAACCTGTTCTGAAACCAAAGTTTCTTTCTACAAAACTAGACATTTTATCAATATTTTGGAAACCACCATTGACTTCCATAGGAACAAAGAATATTATAGAGTTTAATTGCTACCAGTTCCCAATATTGTTAAAGATCTTCTATTTAACAATAACTGAAGAAAGAAATGGTGATGCAGTGGCACAGTAGGTAGTACTGTCACCTCACAGTAGGAAGGTTGCAGGTTCGAGCCTCTGCTGGATCAGTTGGCGTTTCTTTGTGGAGTTTGCATGTTCTCCCTGCGTTCGCATGGGATTTTCTTCGTGTGCTCTGGTTTCCCCCACAGTCAAAATACATGTGGTACAGGTGAATTGGGTAGGCTAAATTGTCCGTAGTGTATGGATCTTGCCCAGAGATGGGTTGCAGCTGGAAGGGCATCTGCTGCACAAAACATATGCTGGATAGGTTGGTGGATCATTCCGCTGTGGCGACCCCAAATTAATAGAGGAACTAAGCTGAAAATAAAATAAATGAATGAATGAAGAAAGAAACTGCTAAAAATTTGCTTCCACTTGAGAGTGAGGACAATTTTATATCGGGGAGAACTATACCTTTAATTATTAATACCTTAAGACCTGTAAGTTTACAATTCCATTCAACTGTACAGCTTTCCAGACGATACGGTAGCTCAGTGATTAGCACTGTCACCTCACAATAAGAAGGTCGCTGGTTCGAGTATCAGCTTGACCAGTTTGAATTTCTGTGTTGAGTTTGCATGTTCTCCCTGTGTGGGCGTGGGTTTCCTCTGGGTACTCTGGTTTCCCCCACAGTTCATAGACATGCGCTACAGGTGAATTGAATAAACTAAATTGGCCGTGTGTGGATGAGTGTGTATGGATGTTTCCCAGTACTGGGTTGCAGCTTGTTTGGTATAGTTTTGTTTCTATGTAGTATGTATAATAAACGCATAATAAACACATATATGTCAAAACAAACTTTTAATTTGGATGCGATTCATCGTGATTAATCTTTGCCCACACTGAAAAAATGATGTCTGCAAAGACGTTGCAAACAATTCATATGTGTTGAATTTAAACAAATTAAATTCAGTAATGTTCAACTTAGTTTGTTTGTTTTATCAGCCCAAATTAATCATTTACAACCACTTAACTTTAAATTTAGTTCATGCAAGGATTCCTCTTTGAATGTTTTTTTCAGTGCAGCACTACTTATTTACAGTCGTTTTAATGAATAAATGCGTTCTTGGTGAGCATAAGAGATTAATTCGGAAAACATTGGAAATCTTAAAGGGATAGTTCACCCAAAAATACTACAATTCTGTCATCGTTTACTCATCCTCCAAATCTATTTGAGTTTCTTTCTTCTGTTGAACATAAAAGAAGAATTTTTTTGTGATATCTGAAAACCACCATTGACTTCCATAGTAGGAACTAAGAATACTATGAAATTTAATATCTGCCTGTTCCCAACATCATGAAAGATATCTTCTTTTTAGCAATAATTTAAGAAAGGGAAATGGGACAACTGCAAAATAATAAATTACAATAAATTAACCCGAAAATAAATGAAAGACACTTTGCAAATGATAATTTTCAGACCAGGCACTGTCTATACTAGATGTCGAATTGAGTTTAGGTTGACTCAGTTGTATTTACTGAATAGCGAAGCACCCCTAAATGTAATTTTTTTTCTTTTTTTATTACAATAACAACAGTCCACTACAACAAATACAAAACTGATAGAAGTATAGTATAATCAATACAAATATTACTTTTTTGCAACAAGAGAATCTTAAAATATATATTATATTGGTAAAGCAAAAGAAAGACAAAGAGAGAGAAAAAGAAACAAAAAAAAAGAAATAAATTAGGGCACATGACAGAAATAAAACAAATTAATGCACAATATTAAATAAAGCACATGGTTTATAAGTTTTGATTGATTTCTTCTTGTGAGAGTCTGTGATAGTTTTTAAATAAAGTTCCAGTTCTCATTAAAAAAATCAAAAAGCTGCTCTTACTATGAATAAAACATACTTTGTTGGAATGTGGAATTTTGAATGCCATCAGACAAAATTTTTATATGGAGAGAACTTTCATTGATATTTTTAAAATATCTATATTTAACTTTGAATATATTTTTGTGTGAGTTTTATTTAATTATATTTTATATATGTGTCTAAGTAACTTTTTATCGTAATACGAATTTGTTTTTATCATGTATTATTTTATATGTATATCCATTTGCCATGAAATAACCATAAGAATAATCAAATAAATCAAATAAATAATAAATAAATGAACAATAACTGAAGAAAGAAACACCTAATTGTTTTCATAAGAAAAAAACTCTTTAATGTTTGCTTCTACTTGAGGGTGCGCAAACAATGAGTGCATTTTAATTTTGGGATGAACTATTCCTTTAATTATTAATAACTGAAGACATTTAGTTTGTAATTTTGTTCAACAGTGCATCTTTCCTTTTAGCATTTTTATGTGCTAATGTTTTATTGCTAAAACAAGAACTAACTCTATTACAATACAAATAATTACTTTGTTGCTGTTGTTTTTTATAAAAGGGAAGGAAAAAAAGAATTTAAAAACAGGAAAGGGGGAAAATAACAAAAAAATAAGGAAAAAAGAAAAATATAGTAATAATAATGTACAGAATATTACAACCAACTGAATGCAGTCATTCAATAATCACAATCAAATGTTCAGTTATCAATGTTCTGAGTAGATATTTACAATCAAACGGTGTCCTTTTGCATTTGAAAACATTAAAGTGTATTAGCTGAAGTGTATGATTAAACATCTGCACGTAATGAATCAAAGCTTATTTACCATGACATCATGGCTAAGTGTGTTTGTTTACTGTGAAATAGATATCCTTAACCCACTATTTCCTTAAACATTTCAAGTAAATGCAAATCATTTCCTTTTTTTTTTCTTGTTGTGAGAAAAGAGGTGTATTTGTGCTTATGCTATATTACATGTCTCAGTTATGAGTGTATTTCATGAGTAATTCATTCCAAACATCAGACCAGGAGCTGCCAAATAATAGATCATATGAACACATTAGATTATATGCTGTCAAAATGAATGATGCAATATGAATTAAATTGACCTGAAAAGATCTTTTGAAGGGTTTTACAACACCGGCTTGTTTAAAAACCCTCCCTTTCATATCGGACATGTATTTGCATGTGCAGTCCAGATTTACCCCTGCAGGCTCCTGTAGCTGTCATCACTCCTGTATGCAAATAATCTTATATGCAAATCAGCGCTCTTTTCAGTCTCCTCCCTTCCTCCTTTCTATCCTGAAGGAGAATGTGTGCATAGAAGAACACAGTGTAACCGAACAGGCCCAACAGCATTGCAGTGCCGATTCTGGTTGGCTCTTCGCTATGTTTGTACCTAGAAATCACACACATTTAATTATAGGACCGTGTTCACACACCCAGTTTATTTACAGCCATTATTACAAGTTGTAGTTTGGCTACATTAAGTTACATTGACGTGTACATCTGATGCTGTGTATTTAAGGCTGTGTAGTCTATTGTGTAGTTTAATGTAATGAACTTTAAACCGCTTGTAAATTACAGAAATGAGCTGATTTTTTTAATTGTAGATTGTTTGTAGTACTTTAAACTTTATTACTAAACCTTTTTGCATTGTTGCTTCCTTAATAAACAGCGTATGTTCCTTAATTTAGATTAAAGCATCTGCTAAATGAATAAACAATTAATTTTGTAGCTAATTTAAATAGATCTCTGTCTGTAAAAATAAAGTGTCCAGTCGGCGCCAATAGCCTAGTGGTTAGTGCATCGACACATGGCACCAAGGTGCTCGCAGCGACCCGAGTTTGTTTCCCGCCTCGAGGTCCTTTGCTGATCCTTCCGCTATCTCTGCTCCCCACACTTTCCTGTCTCTATATCTCCACTGTCCTATCAATAAAGGTGAAAACCCCTAAAAAATATATATATTAAAAAAATAAATAAATAAATAAAATAAATAAAAATATAAAGTGTCCTCAAATAATGCTATATTTGAAAAAGTTTAAAGTTCAGTCTTATAAAATGTTATATATACAATGCTCTGCATATTGTAAATGCATATTGTTAATAAGAAGCTATACAATGTTGTATTTGTGCATATACATTAGATTAGTCACTACTGAAGCAAAATCTGGAGCTGATTTGACAAAATAACTTACGATAATGGTCCAAAAACTAGCACACCCAAATTTATATGCTATAGAAAAATATTAAATACAAATTTAAAATAAGAGGAAACATCAAGAGAAGCAAATTTAGTTGAAATGTTGTATATTTCAACTTTATTTTGCTTGAAATTAATTGTATTTTTCTTTCAATTTCTAGTCATGTTTTTTGTGACTAAAATATCATTTTTATAAAAAAATAATATAATAAAATATATCTGTATAATAAAATATGTGTTTAATAAATCTGTTTTGTTTAAATGCACCAAAATACACTGCCTATATTCATTTAGAATTGAGATATTCACTTTCAAAATGGGGTGTACTTATGCTGAGCACTGTAAGTAGTTATAGATAAAAACATCTGATAAATAAATAAATATAAACATTTCCTGTAAACTAACTGAAAAAAAGAGATAAGTTGGGTTAACTTGAAAAAAAAGTGAGTAAATCTGTTGCTCTTAAAGTGATTAGTTGACTTTACTTTAAAAAAATGTTTAAAAAAACTCATTTGCAGCTTACAATTCAGCTCTATTACTTCTAAAATAGTTAAAAAATGTTTTTATAGTTTTATAGTTGTTGATAGTCTTACGTTTAATGCTCTAATATATGACACAACATCGCTCTGGGTCATGAATAAATCAATATAAATATTTCCAGCAAACTGTAAAAAAAAAACTGATTTTCATAAAATTATAAGGGCGGAACATCCAAAGCTCCAAAAGTATCAAATTTATTCACTTAAAAAAGGCTATAGCCCTGATTATTTATCCTAAATTAAACTGATCTGAGCTTTTGGTGTTGTCGCCGTTTCATATATTAATATTTTTGTACTTTTTCTTTGGCTTAGCGCTCAGTTTTTTAGATTGTAGTATTAGTAGTTTTAAGTTTTAAGGATATCTATAGGCTAGTGTGCTCCAAAACAGTGACAAAATTCACGTATAAAAGATATAAAACTGAAATAAACATATAAAGCTTGTAGTTTGTTACTTCCGCCTGGATGGATCAAGGGTTTTATTCACATCATATCATACTTTAGTTTCTCATCAAATCTTCTGACCAATCAAATGCTCTCTAGTGTCCGAAATGCCCCGCCCCCTTCAAGATGCTTTTCATCTGCTTTTCATTTGATGCGCTTGAGCTCAACCACTGTCATTGGCAGAGCTGTGATGAAACAAAATGCTATTGGCTGTCACTTCAAGTAACTTGTCACTTCAAAAGCAACAGATTTTAAAAAGTCAAAATTATTTTTTTTAAACTTTGGATAGGGATGTCCTGAACAGTTTTTTTCCCCTTGAGTCCAAGTCTGAGTCATTTGATTTTCTGAGTCATTTGAGTATTTACCAATACCGAAACCCGAACTGATGCTTTTATAATACATAAAAAAGAAAAAATAAGAGCAAACAAACAGATCCAGAATTTTCCTTATTTTAACATTTAACAACTCCGTTAACAAACAGAGCACTTCTGTAAGGTAGATTGAACAATCAAGTAATAAATAACATCAACTCTTAATTTTTAGACTTTAATGCAACAGTAAAAATAAAACAAATAGCACCTCAACTTTAAATACCCGGCAGGCAATCCCAACTTTACATATCACAGTTTGCTGTGGCAATGTTGTCGTCATCAACTTTATAATACCTCCAGACAGCAAACATATACTTGCACTTTCCGCTTCAAGCTGCTTCTTTGTTCTACTTTGCCAGTACTTAACCAATAGCATCTCTGCAACAAAGTGATGTCATGCCACACATGTTGCTGTTTCTGTGTGAAGTCAAGAAAGAGGTCTAACTCTGTGCCACAGCATAACTATAGATGTGTTAAAAAAATAATGAGAATATCTATACATATCTATTCGAGTCCTGATCGGGAGGTAATGTCCGATTCCGATCGAGTCTGAAACTGCGTGATCGGGCCAGATTTCCAATCACATGATCGGATGTGGACATCCCTAGATAAAAGCATCCTGATACAATAATAAATATTTATGTCTGTCCAATGTAGTTTGATTCATTCTAAAAGCACACAAAAGTCTATGAGTTGATGAAGTTTAAAATAGTAAAAGTGTCTCAGTAGTCATTGTAAATGTTTGTATTTGTGTCATTTCGCACTTCTATGCTACTGTTTGAAATGTGATCAAATACATCCTCATACTTAACAATTTCACGGATGTCTTATCTGCACAAATTAACGTTTGCACGTGTGATGCTATTTTCATATGCAAATGCATGACTAATTTGAATGCATTACTATAATGAAGTAAAGATGTGCATATTCTGTTTCTCAGCCACGGGAACAAGGAAGTGTTTTCCTGTCTGGGAATTCAGCTGGCAGTGAACTTTTTCCTGGAGCGGGGTCACCTTGACATCACAGTGTTTGTGCCTTCCTGGAGAAAAGAGCAACCGCGACCTGATGTACCCATCACAGGTGAGGGCAAGGGAATGTACAGGCTGTCTGGAACCAATTCCAGAAACATTCACATTCCTATAAACGAGATCTGCAAGAAAAGGACTGAGTCAACAAGACGAGACTAGCAAATTTGTTATATGTGCTTTGGAAATGATGTACACGTTTTTACAGGTGATGGTTGTCAGTTAGATTTAGGTGAACAGTTCAGTTTTTTTATTAAATAAACTCAAGCAACCTCGGGATTCACGTAATAGAACTGGAAGCATGAGGAAACTAAATGATTTGATTTAATTTTATAAATTGAATATGGCATAAGATGTATAGTTTAAGACAAAATTATTAGCTCTCTTGTGAGTTTTTAATGGAGAGAAGATTTTTTAAACATATTTTAATAACTAATTTTTAATAGCTAATTTTTCTTTTTTTGTCATAATGACAAAATATGATAATATTTTGCAAGATGCTAACCAGCTTAAAGTGCAATTTAAAGGCTTAAAATGGTAAATAGGTTAACTTGGCTAATCATTGAAAAACAGTGGTTTTTTTCTGTAACCAATCAAAAAAATGTATTAACCGTAGCAGTTTTTTAGCATTCAAAAATAATAAAAAATTTAAATAATTATAGATAAAAAAATTAAAAATATATGAGCAGTATCAAACGAGTAGCAGTGCGATATTGCTGTATATCGGCACTGGTTGTAGGTGGATGTTTGGCTCAAGGCTGCAGGCCGAGTGCCTTGGTGTCCCACCAGTAATGATATACAGCCAAATCACACTGCTAAGAGTGTGATATTGAGTTTATTAAACAGTTCTACGGCATAATTATGTATATAAAAAGAAAATCAAACACAAAGAGACTCAAAAACCCTTTCGTATGAGGAACTACTTTCTTCCACCACTCATTCAGCAAAGCAAAGCAAAGACTAGCAGATTACTATGGTATAAATACAGCACTACAGAATACAAAACAGAGAGAACGACTCAGAAAGTGACTTACCCATTTTATAATGGCTCAATCAGCTGTAGTTTGAAATACGAAAAAGAAAATACAGTTTTTCTCCCCCAAGGACTTATATGATTTCTGTTGCCATATTTTCCATTTCAATTCTTTGCATGCTGATGGTTGCCAATGCGTTGAATCTCCGAAATTATAATTGTTTAAAATAGTCACTATCCTTATAAATTTAACTGCATAGTTGCCATCTAAAAACCATATTCTCACCTTTAAAAAAGCCTCAAAAGCTTATGTTGTCCAACAGCTGCAATATTTGTCAAACTGTAGCAAGTTTATTCCTCGGCTTGTCTGTGGGCGGAGTAATAGACCACAAGCGTAAAGAGGCTGCACGAGTGATGTTATTGCAGAATATCACAAGGCTATCAGCCAATCAGATTCGAGAACCAGACAGAACTGTTGTCTAAATTTATTTATTATGTTTATATAATTGTTGTTATTTTTTTAATAATATGCAATATTATTCCATCCAAACTAAAAGAATGAAGAATTAATTTCCTTTGTAAAATTTTTTTATAATTGGAGTACAAAACAATTGTATATATTTATTTTGAAAAACATTAATAATTAATAGTAATACATTTATAATTAATAAACATTAAAATATATATATATATATATATATTTATATATTTATATATATATATATATATATATATATATATATATATATATTTTTTTTTTTTTTTTTTTTTTTTTTTTATATATAATTAGGCCAATAATTGTGTCTTCATCTTCAACTGTATTTATAAATTGGCAAGTATGTGGGGTTTTCACAAGACGTGCTACTTCCTCGTTAGACAAAAATAATAAATAAATAAAGGCCATAGGGAAGTAGTGTGATAATACGTCTCCTGCTTTTGGCTCACAAGATCTGTACAATATTCTTCACGTACGCCAAACTCTTCCCTTTTAGAGGGAAGCACTGCAACTATAATAATGCAACTATAATTATGACACTGTGCAGCCAGCAGATAGTTGCGATGTTGAATTGTCATTTCACTATGCAAACATTGTGCAAGTATGTTTGACCTCCTGCTTTCTCTGAAATAAACTGTCGATGTCTAAACAGGCACCTGTCCAATGGAAATCACAAGCAAATTGAAATGCCAAGAATCTTTTTTTGTTGTTGTTGTTTGTCTCCCCTGAGGGTTTGTTCGTTCCAACTGGTTGAAAAGTGTAGCCAAGTACAAAAAAGTGGTGTAATAGACAGAACGTTCCAGCTCGACTTAGCGATCTATTGTAATATGTCATATTAATCACATAATACACTGTTAATCACATCTGTCAGTATAACAGTATTTACTAAGAACTATACCTGGAGGGCATCACAATATTGAGACAGACCGCATTAAAGTTCATGTATTTCAAATAGAGCCTTTTAGAAGTTTGTGTGTTGGTTGTTTCCATTGCATGCTACATGTTTTAATCCAATTGTTAACTTGTTTACTATTCACATACATTTAAGATACAACCAAGCTTTGCAGTTGATCTGAGGCTTATACAAAAAAAAACAACAGTAGTATTTATAATGGCCCGTTTTCACTGAGTGGTACAGTATGGTACAGGTCGGTACGGGTCACCTTTGTCAAGCTAGTGTTTCCACTGCCGAAAGGGGACCATTTGATGGGTGTGGTGTGCAACAGAAAGTTTTAGTCTTCGTCATTCTTGCTTGAGGAAATGTCGAGTAAAGCTGTACAAGTCGTTCACATGTCATATGAGAAGCACTTCTCAAAAAACAGATGCTTTATACATATAAATACTTGTGTATAAATGTTCATTACTAACATTTCTATGAACAGGATTTGATTATAACTGCAGGTCATTGATCAGTATGAAATAGCCTACAGTAATGTCTGGCATTAAATAAAATGAATAAATAAATGCACCATATATGAACACATACAGACGCTTACAGTCTCAGATATGTTACCAGTTACAGAAAAACTACACTCAGCAGACATTTAGTCCTTATTTGGCTTCAAAATTTACAAAAACATTTAGCATCTGGCTTCAAATACAACACACAACATATAGCCCACAGTCAGTGCAATTCTCTCATCTGTATCTTTAATTTTTAGCAGCACATGTAACCTCTGTTCAATTCCGTCATTCTGCATTCTTAATAGTCCAAAAGGCAATGATAATAGTTAAACACGGCAGTTTGTTCATGTTTTAAGTTGCTGAAAGAATCATTTGCTCCTTTATTTTTTTTCAGGATTCTCCTGTTTTTTCGCGCTTCACTCTCGCGTTTGTCCATTTCTGAAAGGATCGGATGTCAGAAGCACTTCAGTAATCATGCGCACGTTATTATCATCAGCAGTTCGTTATTTCAAATATAGCTGTCAACGCGAGCTCTCTCTCTCTAGAAAGTGAAACCGCTCGCGCCTTAGACGGCCTTTAAAGTAACTACAGGGCAAAGGGTAGATTCTGATCTTCTTGGCTTTGTGGCTGTTCATCAAGACGATGACAAGGTTTATGTAAGCTCGCGTCAACCATGGCTTGTTGTTATATGTATATATTATTACAGTGTGCTGTCTCGGCTGTGTATTTAAAAATAGCGCTTCCTTTGTTTTTATTCTTCTGGCTTGTGCACAAGCTAGTGACGTATCTCTGTAAACCAATAGCGTTCAGCTGCGCGTCTTGCTCTGCTTTTTGGTACCCTTTTGTTTTGCTAGGTACGCTTTCGAAAGGGTACCCAAAAAATGGTACGGTTTGGTATCTTTTGACAATGGAAACGGCCATAAAAGTGTACCGAACCAAACCGTTTCATACTACTTAGTGAAAACAAAAACCAACATAAATGTCTGCTCTCACAGTCTATAAATCAAGTTAAAGCAATTGGAAAAATCTAACTTGACAAGTATAATTCTAAAAATGCAAACATGCATCAAGTTTAAAGGGATATTTCACTCAAAAATGACAAATCTGTCACATTTACTCGTCCTCCACTTTGTCCAAACCTGTCTGAGTCACTTTCACACACAAAACAACATGTTCTGAAGAATGTTGGAAAAACAGCCATTAACTTTCATTGTATTTTTGTGACCACTATGGTTGTCAATGGCTGCTTTTCCCTACAAAACCCATTCATTCATTTTCTTTTGGCTGAGTTCCTTATTTATCAGGGGTCACCACAGCAGAATAAATTTAGTTTATTTTCACCTGAAATGGGGAGAGCATGCAAACTTCACACAGAAATGCCAACTGACCCAGCCGGGACTCGAACCAGCTACCTTCTTTATATGAGGTTGATAGTGCTAACCATTGAGCCGCCATGTCGCCCGCCCCCCCAACATTTTTCAGAATGTATTGCTTTGTGTTCAACAGAAGAAAGAAATTCAAGTCAATTAAAATCCATAAAAAGTAAATGGTGAGGAAATTAAAATCTATCACGTAATCATAAAATCGATCACTTCACTTGCAACTTCTTATTACATGTTTGTTACGATAAAAAAATCTATTAAAAAAATATCTCTTAAAATGTTTTAATAATTGCAGTTAGTCAAAGCATCAAACGACTGTCCTAATTTTAAAATGCTCCAACAAAGATTTCTAATCTCTTGTCTCTTTTTCTGCAGATCAACACATTCTGCGAGAGTTAGAGCGAAGTAAGCTCTTGGTGTTCACACCGTCCAGAAGGGTGGCCGGAAAACGTGTGGTGTGCTACGACGACCGTTTTATCGTGAAGTTGGCGTACGAATCCGATGGCATCATTGTGTCCAACGACACTTACCGGGATCTGCAAGGAGAGCGTCCCGAGTGGAAACGCTTCATAGAGGAGAGGCTTCTCATGTACTCCTTCGTCAATGACAAGTAAGACCTGTTGCGGTTTGGTCTTTGTGGATAGTTTTGATAAATCGATTAGAAATCATCAAGTCCAAGGCACTAGAAAGGTATTAATTAAATATTAGCAATTAGCCTAGAAATAATAGCCATTTTAATAAAGCCTTTTTAATTTTTGCACTTACCTTTGAGTGCCTTGGACTCATTAACTACCCCTGAAGCAGTTTTTGTTTCATTTTATTAATGCTTGATTACAGTTTGATTACATTACATTGTTTTCTGTGTAGGTTTATGCCTCCGGATGACCCTTTGGGAAGACATGGACCCACCCTGGACAACTTTCTCAGAAAGACTCCACGTATACCCAAAAAACAGCCCTGTCCTTATGGTGAGAATCTATTTTTTCGTGGAGTTTAAATAAATGATGAATACTATGTTTATTTTTACGAGCGTAATTATACGGTTTTTGTAGTTTATGTTGGTGTAATTATCAGGGTCTGGCTTGACATTTTTTTTGCTATAGCCAATAAAAAGAAAGAAAGCAAGTACATATGCAGAGAATTAATAAACATAACAATATTCAAAAAAGTAAACATTCTGCTTTTCAAATGTCAGTGAAAAGTTACATTTTATTACAATTTAAACAAACATTTATGGGATGCAAAGCTGAATTCTCAACAGCTATTACCACAGATTTCTGTTTCACATAATCCTTCAGAAATACTTCTTATTTGCTGCTACAGAAACACAAAAAATTGTGTGATTAGTACGTATTGCTGCTTTATATTTTTCTCCATATAATACATATGTAAGGATTCCTTGTTAAAGGTTATAAAGCAATGTAAATACAATAATTTATGTAAAGGATAATCAACAGCTTGACATGCTTTTATAGGATTTTAAATACCCAACACAAGGCCAAAAACCACCTGAGGCCTTTGCAAAAATATAATAAAAAATCCCTGCCTCTGCAAAGTGCATTTAACATTTAAAATCCTTTTCTGCACGGCAAGTCAATGATTATTTCACTAAAACGAAACTCCATTTAAAACAAATTAAAACTAGTATTGCTCATAGCAGTGCAATTTGAGTACATTTTTGTAGGTTAGGACACATTAGATCTCCCTGCTGTGAATCAGTCACAAGCAGAGTTAGAGTGTGTCCATAAATATGACATTGGCATATCTAATAGCTCATAGTAACACTTGTCAGCTACCTCTTCACAAAATTTTTAACCATATTGGCGAGTTGGTTAATCCCCATTGGGAGGATCTTGATTATATAGAGGTGTGAAGGCTCCGAAAACTATTACTGAGTAACTACTATGGTTACTAGGACTGTGCAATTAATCGAAAATCTAATTTCGATTTTGATTTTGGCTTCAAACAATTATGAAAAAGCATTAATCGAGATAAACTTTCCAGCTGTACACATTGTTGCTCTTAAAAGCACGAAAGACAGCGTGCTTATGTGTGTGTGCAGCAAGCACACTCAGTCGGAAGCATGCGGCCAGTCAGCATTAGGTCTCATTCGCACACTGAGCCGAGCAGACATCTAAAGTCATCTTAACGTGAGCGCTTTAACGGTCAAATAGGTGTCAAAACGCGGTGTTTAGTGATTATTTAAATTAACCCTCATCTGTGTAATAAACAAACGAGTTGACAATCAAAAGACACGTGAAAGCAAAACCATTAAAGTGACCTATGCGAAATTTTCCTGCTGGCGCCTGTTTTTATCATTAATCAAACAAAACGAGAAAATCCCTCTCTGCTCTTGACTGAAGGATTTTTGTAGCTAAAGTGTTTTTCTTACAGTGAAGATGCTTAAAGCACAGTTTATTTCATATTTTTATTCTATTGTATTTATTTCTCTTTCTCTTTTTTGACTTCAATAGATAATCGTTTTGAATAATCGTGATTACAATTATGACCAAAATAATCGTGATTATGATTTTTCCCAAAATCGAGCAGCCCCAATGGTTACTACTATGGTTATGTTCGAGGGTAGTTCATTTATTTAGAACTGTGATCAGCTGGATTAAAAGTACCTGTACATTAAACGATTTCATAGCACACCTTCAAAAATTAAAAATTCGTAAAATTAAGTTAATTTCAATTGCATAAATGTCTGTTCTGTCCTTTTTAATCAATGCATTGCATCCCTTCTGATTAAACGTAATACAATTATGAGCCAATAAGACTAATAAGACTGAACCCCTCTCATTTTCAATGCAGGAAAGAAGTGCACTTACGGAAACAAGTGCAAGTTCCATCATCCCGAGCGAACCAAACAATCCCGTGCCCTGGCCGATGAGCTCAGAGACAAGGCCAAAATTTCATCGGCACCACACAAATCTCCAGTTCCCAGTCAGAGTCCGTCTCTGGAGGAAACCATAGAGCAGAAACTCTCCCTGGATCCGTGTGGATCTGTCAAAAAAAGTTACGCCAGTGAAAATGTCATCATCATTAACGCAAGCCCACAACCAACCCAGCGCAAGTTTCCAATGAAGAAAGAGCGTCGACATTCCCCAACAAGTCTAGAATCGTTCCCCAATGGATCTCAGGAGCGTTTGGATTCTGGCTTGGGCTCCTACGAATGCCATACTTCAGAAACTCCCCACTGCGACCATAGGAAATCCAAACCATCCAGCGGTGGGAGGCATCGCTACATTCCACCCAATAGCCAGCCTTGTAGTTGCTGTTCTTACCAATCCTACCAATCCCAGCACCACAGCAGCTCCCCTAACCCAGGTTACAATCAGCCCAGGTATCACTCCTATGGAGGAGGTCCAGTTTACCCACACTCAAACATGCACCAGTATTCGTTTCCACACAACAGAGGTCCTCCCCCTCATCAAGGCTACTGGTCGGACCATTATGGTGCCTATCCTCCAACATCCCACAATGCCATGCAGTCGGAGAGAGGACACGGACACTGGTCTCCATCCAATCACAGTCCTCAGTGGTCCGAACGGGAGCAGGTGAGGAAGAAATTACTAGCGATTTTTAATGCACGTTTGGTGGACAGAGCCATGGACATGTTCCCATATCTTCTGGACCCACAAAGACTTGCCGCAGAGATTTTGACACTTCAGTCTCAGGATGGAGCTTTATGAGATTATTTGTATTCATCGAAGGTCTAGATAGTAATGCTAGATCCTGGCACTTAATGTGCCACGTCAAGTTCTCAGTTTAGTGTATCTAAAGTAACCTTAAAGTCTCATTAGTCCTCAATGAGCGCTTCACATCAGATGTGTTCTGATGAGCTGTTTTTGCCGAGTCATCCCATATCGTAAAAAAAAAAAAAAGATATACAGTTAAAGTCAGAATTATTAGCCTCGTTTATTTTTTTCCCCAATTTCTGTTTAATGGAGAGATTTTTTTGAACACATTTCTAACCATAATAGTTTTAATAACTCATTTCTAATAACTGATTTATTTTATCTTTGCCATGATGACAGTAAATTATATTTGACTAGATATTTTTAAGACACTTCTATACAGCTAAAAGTGACATTTAAAAGCTTAACTAGGTTAATTAGGTTAACTAGGCAGGTTAGGGTAATTAGACAAGTTATTATATAACAATGGTTTGTTCTGTATTGAAAACAAATATAGCTCAAAGGGGCTAATGATTTTGTCCTTAAAATTGTGTTTAAAAAATTATAAACTGCTTTTATTCTAGCTGAAATAATACAAATAAGACTTTCTCCCGAAGAAAAAATATTATCAGACATACTGTGAACATTTCCTTGCTCTGTTCGGGAAATATTTAAAAAAGAAAAAACAATTAAAGGGGAGCTAAAAATTCTGACTTCAACTGTATATGGCAATATATGCTAATTACATGCGTGACGTACAAGTTCATATTAGGATTTAACTTATATTTCAAAACTGTCCATTTACATGTGTGTGTGTGTGTGTATTTTTAACCATTGAAATTATCTATCTATATATATATATATATATATATATATATATATATATATGTGTACAAATATGTTCACATATATTGGCTAAACCTTAAAACTTGAAATGTATGTTTGATGTATGACGTTATGTCCAATCTAAATCTGAAATTGAGTGTCTGTTTGCATATATTTCTATATGAGAGGCAGCATTTTGGTTTATTGTGAGATTGAGTGTTTAGTCGGAGGCTGTTGTGTAGTTCAGAGCACCTCAAACTGAATTCTCATTGGTCCACAACCCAGCATGTGTGTAACCCAGCCCACAGTCAAATCTCATTGGTGGATAATTCTGCTTCCCAATCGATGATCTGATTGGCCGTTCTAGTCAAGTCATAGTTTTGTGTCAGAAACAAAATCTCATTGGTCGATATTTCTGCCTCCCATCTGGTGTTCTGATTGACTGTTCTTGTCGTAGTAGTCTGTCGCATAAAAAAAATCTCTGGTCCACAATTCTGCTTCTCATCTGATGATCTGATTGGCTGTTTTGTCAAGTCATAATAGTGACAAAAACAAAAATCTTATTGCCTGATAATTCTGCTACACATTAGTTGATCTGATTGGCTGTACTTGCAGTAGTCTGTCGCATACGAAATCTCATTGGTTGGCTCTTCTTGTCAAGTCATAGTAGTCTGTCAAAAACAAAATCTTATTGGTCGAATTTTCTGATTATCAACTGGTGTTCTGATTGGCTGTTGATTTAAAGTCATAGTTGTCAGTCAAAATCAAATTCTCCTTGGTTGACAATTCTGCTTCACATCTGATGATCTGATTGGCTGTTATGTCAAGTCATCGTAGTGTCAAAAACAAAATCCCATTGGTAGTTAATTCTGTTTTACATCTTGTTTTCTGATTGGCTGTTCTTGTCATAGTAGTCTGTCGCATACAAAAGTTCATTGGTCCACAATTCTGCTTCAGATCTGATGTTCTGATTGGCTGTTCTTGTCAAGTCATAGTAGTCTGTCAAAAAACTAAGTCTCATTGGTTGATAATTCTGCTTCGCATCCGACATTCTCATTGGCTGTTCTTGTCAGTAGTCTGTCGCATACAAAATCTCATTGGTCGATAATTCTGCTTCACATCCGATAATCTGGTTGGCTGTTTTGTCAAGTCATAGTAGCGTCAAAAACAAAATCTCATTGGTCCATAATTCTGCTGCACATCTGATAGTAGTTAAAATAGATCTCTTCTTCCGATTGGCTGTTCTTGTCATGGTAGTCTGTCGCAAACAAAATGGAATCGCTCCATAATTCTGCTGCACATCTTGTGTCCTGATTGGCTGTTCTTGTCGAAGTAGTCTGTCGCATGCAAAATCTCATTGGTCCACAATTCTGCTTCACATCAGATATATTTATGTTTAAAAATAGATTTATTAATGTCTCTATAGTTAGATATTTAATGTTAGTAATGAGATGAACTCCTTTTAAGATTTTTAAATATTGTTATTTAACCTTTGACTGTGGTGAATTGACTTCTGGTTGTATTAGCCAACAGAGTTTTATATCAGTTTTGACAAAAAAAGAAAAGATCATATTTAATAATAGCATGAAAAGTTCTCTAATTTCTACACATGTCTGAAGTGTTATGATTTATGGTTCTGCGTGATTTGCAGTACCGTGCGTTTAGTGTCTAGGCACCGTGTGCCATAACTGATATTACCTAAACAGAGCTACCAGAAAGGTAGAAGAGTACGCACCCTTCGGTGTATTTTTCCTTTTTTATAAGAGATAACTTCTAAAAATGTCCTAAAGAATCATCTCAATTATGACTTAATATATTCAGTGAGTTCTCAAAGGTGAAAACCAAAAGCGTAAAACATGCACGGATCAGACTGTGATGAAGCTCTTGGTGCCTCTGTCTCTGTTCAAGCTGTTTAGATTGTGAAGAGGGAATCTGCAATATCGAGTAGGCAATTTTTGTTTGCCAGTGTTTTATTTAGCATTATGTTCTCTGCTCATTTAAATACAGTCGATGTCAGAATTATTAGCCCTCCTGAATTATTAGTCCCCCTGTATATTTTTCCCTAATTTCTGTTTTAACGGAAGGAGGATTTTATTTCAACATATTTCTAAACATAATAGTTTTAATAACTCATCTCTAATAACTGACACTTCTATGCAGCTTAAAGTGACATTTAAAGGCTTAACTAGGTTAATTAGGTTAATCAATAATGATGGTCTGTTCTGTAGACAGTTGCAACAAATATAGCTTAAAGGGGCTAATAATATTGACCTTAAAATGGTCTTTAAAAAATTAAAAACTGCTTTTATTCTAGCCGAAATAAAACAAATAAGACTTTCTCCAGAAGAAAAAATATTATCAGACACACTGTGAAAATTTCCTTGCTCTGTTAAACATCATTTGGGAAATCTTTGGAAAAGAACATTAACAGGAGGGCGAATAATTCTGACTTCAACTCTTATGTCATCTTTTAATGCAGTATCTCTTGTCCTGATATGAACTGTTATATTTATGTGTCTTTAATAAAAGTCTCGTTTGTTGACATTACCGTGTCTGTGTTTTGTTTGTTTATGACGAGCCGGAGCAAACGTGACCTTCAAAGGCATCTGTGCTGCAGGCGATGGCCTCATTACTGAAGGATGTGTTCTAGGAAATCACAGATCCTCCAAAACACATGACGTGTGCTGTATCAGACTGCAGGATCGAGGAGTTTAACACTAGATAAACAAAAAAACACATGATTGTTCAACAGTATTTCCAGCCTGATTTCATGAGGAAACGTAACTATTTACCGTTTTGTCAGTTTAGTAGCTAATTCGTATGAATTCAGTCGTGTGAAAATGTACGTTTTTTAAAAGAAGGCTTGGCACCCAACCCCACCGCTAAACCCAACTGTCATTGGGGGATGAGCAAATTGTACGAATGAGACTGTACGAATTTATACAAAGTAGCCACCAAATCAAAAAGTTACCAATTGCTGTGAGATTGTGTTGTTGTTTCCCATTACTGGGTTGCAGCTGGAAGGGCATCGATGTGTAAAAGCGATGCCGGAATAGTTGGGGGTTCATTCTGTTGTGGTAACCCCTGATAAACAAGGGACTAAGCCAGTGGTCACCAAACTTGTTCCTGGAGGGCCGGTGTCCTGCAGATTTTAGCTCCAACCCTAATCAAACACACCTGAACAAGCTAATCAAGATCTTACTAGATATACTTAAAACATCCAGGCAGGTGTGTTGAGGCAAGTTGGAGCTAAACCCTGCAGGGACACCGGCCCTCCAGGACCGAGATTGGTGACCCCTGGACTAAGCTAAAGGAAAACTAAAGAACTTTAAACAGTAGCGAAGCGTTTTCTGAATCGTTTTATATTTTGGGAGTAAATGATGAGTATTTGCATTATGATATTTATGTTTATTTGTAAATCATAACAATACTTTTCTTATTTATTATATTTCATGACTCAATGGAGGGTTGGAATACTGACACAAATTCGTAAGAAAAATAGTGTCGACACACAAATCAACGATAACACTTGGCAACCGGAATAATTTTAGCACATCAAACACAACACGCCAACAATACTCGCTTTCCCGCCCCACGCCCGCTGTTCTCTTTTTAAAGGACGCCCTGGGTAATCTCCTCCAATCCCAGGGCACGTCGCCTGCATAGCTAGGGCGGGGCCTGTAGGTGGAAAGAGGGAGAGAGAGAGACACACACACACACAGATGAACACACCTGCCAACGCAACAACCATCATTTTGTTTTTAAGCTGAATCAATTTAACTTTAAAGGTAATTTCAACTAGGATTTTTCTGATATCCAACAATAAAAAGCATCGTGTCAACGCCACAGCCTACCTGAGTATTGTTGCTGACCATGTCCATCCCTTTATGACCACAGTGTACCCATCTACTGATGGCTACTTCCAGCAGGAAAACGCGGCATGTCAGAAAGCACAAATCATCTCAGACATGACAATGAGTTCAAATGGCCTCCACAGTCACCACATCTCAATCCAATAGAGCACCTTTGGGATGTGCTGGAACAGGAGATTCACATCATGGATGTGCAGCCGACAAATTTGCAGCAACTGCGTGACGCTATCATGTCAATATGGAGCAAAATCTCTTGAGAAATATTATACTATTAATACTAACTAAGTGAAAAGGGGCTCCAACCTGGTACTAGTAAGGTGTACCTAATAAAGTGGCCGGTGAGTGTATATGGGCAACCAGGTGAGAGACAGCGTAACCAATTAGGCCAATGTGTTAGAGATACAATATTGTTGCTTATCATTAGAAAAGTAGCCAAGCAACATCGCTCTAAAAATCTGCTCGACAACATTGCTGAAAACGTTTCCCCGTGTGTCATCA